CTACTTTGCTGAATACTTAGATGCATATGAGCGTCGAGACATAAATGTAAACAACTCTCTAGAAGCTGCGTGGATTGACGTTACGGTGGCGTCTCAGAAACTTCTAGTTGCTTCAATGTATCGCCCACCCGATGACACTACGTTTTTAAATAAATTTTCTTCTACTTTGGATCGCATATGGATGAAACGAACGAATATAATTTTATTGGGGGACTTCAATTTTAATCTTTTGCCTAAATCCAGGGACACAGATTCTTCAACCTGGAAATTCCGTCAACTTTTGAATAGATTTAATCTAAAGAATGTCATCAACAAGGCAACAAGGATCACTGACACCTCCACAACGCTGATTGATTTGGTGATTTGCTCTGACACCTCAAAAATTTCTCACCAGGGTGTTTGTGATTTAGGAATCTCAGATCACCACTTAATATATGCAATCGTAAATCTCAAAAGAAAACGTCAGAAACCAACGCTCAAAACAGTCTACGATTATAAAAAAGTAGATCTAGACTCATTAAGAACGGACTTTGCTGCAGCCCCATGGAGTATCTGCAATGTCTTTCACAATCTGGACGATGCTACTTGGGCTTGGGAGTATTTATACAAGGACATTATGAAATCTCACCTTCATGCTCGACGAGTAAAGATAAGAAGAGGGGGCCTACCCTGGATGAACTCTTCCATACGTAAAGAGCTGAACAAACGCTACAAATTACTCCTTAAAGCACAGAAAACACCGAAGGGCTCACAAGCCTGGATAGATTACAAGAAGGCAAGAAATAAATGCACCAAACTCCTTAGATTAGCGGAATCAAGTTATTGGCTAACAAAATTTAATGAGACAACCTCTGCTCGAGATTTTTGGAAGACAGTAAGATCTTTCGAGGGAAAACAAACAGCTACAAATATCGGACCGATTAAAGATAGTTCCGGAGTTATTCACGCAGACGATACATCAAAGGCCAACACTTTAAATTCCTTTTTTGTCAATGTTGGAAAATCCCTCTCGAAATCAACACAAGATTCTTCAGTAAACTCTCCTTGTCAGTCCGCAAGAAAAAACAGTGCCTCTCTTTATAACATAGCCCTTAACAGAGATCTTTTAAAATCTTCTCTAAGGTGTTTGAAACCTGGCAAGGCGAGTGGACCTGATGACATATCCAGCAAAGAGCTGTACCTTATTGGAGACGCATTTTTGGATTGCTTTATGCCACTGGCTCAAAGAAGTATTTTGGAATGCAAACTCCCCAGCCAGTGGAAACAGGCACAGGTAAAATGTCTTCACAAGAAGGGGAATACTCTCGACTGTGAAAACTACAGGTCTATTTCCCTTCTCAGCATTCCGGGCAAGCTATTGGAGAATGTTGTAAGCCAACAACTTGATAACTTCTTATATAGCAACAATCTGATCTCCTTAAATCAATGGGGCTTCAGAAAAGGAAGCTCACCCGAGCTGCTCTTACTTTCCGTTACAGAACGATGGCGTTTAGCCTTGGATGAAAGCAATATTATTGGCGTAGTCTTTATTGATTTTCGGAAAGCGTTCGATTGCGTCAACCACACAGTTCTTATGGATAAATTACACTCTATAGGTATTAGTGGCTCTTTTTACGATTGGCTCTTAAATTATCTTGATAATCGTAAACAATTTGTCACCGTAAATGGTTCAAACTCAGAATTGTTGGAAATAGATACGGGTGTACCCCAAGGGTCTTTACTTGGTCCTAGACTTTACAGCATTTACTCAAATGATCTGCCCGGAGCCACAACGAACGCTTCCGTTGAAATGTTTGCAGATGATACTACTGTTTTTTGCATTGGAAATACTGTTGATGAAGTTTTATTTAAGATACAGAAAGCGATCGTTGACTTAAACAAATGGGCTAAGGATAACTTCATGACTATTCATCCCGCAAAAAGTGAACTAATGTTGTTATCAAAATCAAGATTCATCGGACCCCTACAGAAAATTTGTTTAGGGCAAAATGAGTTGTCATTTGTTTCCAAAGCTACATGTTTAGGGATTCTTATCGATAATAAACTCTCTTGGTCGCCACATATAAAATCTTTGAGCAAACGTTTTTCGGCAAGAGTGAAGAAACTCAAACACCTAAAAGGACTCGACAATCGCCTCTTAGAGTCAATTTATTTCAAAGGTATCATTCCAAGTATTGCGTATTCTATTGCATTATGGGGATCTTCTAAGTCACTTCAGACACTGGAAGACATTCACATTGGAGCCGCGAGATTTATTTTTAACCTAAAGGAATCTACCCCCAATACTGAAGTTCTGGCAGCGACAAAATGGAAGTCCTTATCATATTTCTATAAAAAGAGGATTGCCACTATATCCTATCAGGCATTTTACAATAGAGCTCCGGCTGCTATAAGCTCTTTGTTTACTAAACACTCTCCGTTGAGAAATCTAAGGGACAATCTGAAGCTATTCGTGCAACGCCCTAAAAGTGACTTCCGTCGATCTTCTTTTTCTCACCATGCGTCTGTTCTATGGAACAACTTACCCGTGTACTTGAAGAGCAAACCGAACATTGTTTCTTTCAAATCTGCTCTCAAAGCAAAATCCGACATTTTAGATAAAATAACATTTAATGGTTTACAGGGACTAAATAAAGACGTTGTAAATTACATATATTAAAGCTATTTTACTACTTTTATTTATTTTATTACTTTTTATTACTACTGTAAATCAACTGTATATTATCTTACTAGGTCTTACATCCTTTCTTACTTACCATAATTTCGCAACTTGTTATTGTTATTATTTAAATTTTGTAGACACTCTTTAGTTTTGTAGGTCCACATCAGCTTTTTAGCTGCCATTTATCGACCTACGTGACAAATAAAGTATGTATGTATGTATGTATGTACGGCAGAAGTGCGACGTATGAACCGGGCCTAAGTTTTCTTTTATAATCGATTGTTTCGTTTGTTTCTCGCGCATTCTAAGTCTTCTCTGATAATTAACTGTTACGTTACATATGTCGCGCATTCTAAGTTTTCCTTTACAATCGATTATTTCGTTTATATCTCGTACATTTTAAGTTTTCTCTTATAATCAACCGTTACGTTAGTATCTCGTGCATTCTCAGTTTTCTCTTATCATCGATTGTTACGTTAGTATCTTGCACATTCTAAGTTTTCTCTCATAATCTACTGTTACGTTAGTATCTCGTGCATTCTAAGTTTTCTCTTATAATTAACTGTTAAGTTTGTATCTCGTGCATTTTTACTGTTGTTTTGTAATATTTTGTCACGTTAATACTTTACTTATCTTCACTTGTTTCCTGTAATTGGTTGTAAAGTTAGCACGATGAACATTCTATTTGTTTACTGAAATTGGTGAGATTTGTAATGTCTATTATGTCTTTATTTTATTCTTGATATTTTTCATCTAATATCCCACGCATATGAATATGATACATTTGATATGAATATAAAACCTTGCATTAGTAAATTTTTTTGTGTGTGGATTTCCCTTTTTTTTACCTAAAGGATCACAGCTAAGACAATCATATGAATAAAATAAAAATTTGTCCACAGTATTTAATTTTTTTATGCTTTTGTCATAGATCTACCTAAGGCATGAATCATACTTTGAAAGCAGGAGCTTGGTATTGAGGCAGAAGTTTACAGCAGCACATACCCATTTTAGTGATGGAGCCCTGATGATTGCCTATAAAGAGAAGAGCACCAAATGATTTATTATTTATTTCCATGGCATTTCAGCTAATTTTAAATATCTATTTGGCCCAGCCTGAGAGGTCATGGAATGTGGGGTACAGCTAGTCCAGGGTTTTCCTCCCAGGTGCAAGTGGATGTACAGGGGGGTTTTTCACCCAGCTGTTGTTCCACAACCCCCATTCATTTAGTCTTATAGAAGCCATTAATTCTATAGCTTTTTTTTAGTGTTTGTGTGCCACAGTTGTTCAAACAAGTGCTCCCCTACCCTTTGGTTGGTGGACTTTTCTGGGTCGTGAGTCTCAGGTATTTTGGTTGCTGTGTTTTTAAGGTCTTGAGTTTGGTGGGTCTAAGCTGTTTCGCTCTTAGGGTTATTGGGTCCTGCAATTTCTGGTGTTAGCCAAGTAATGTCCTAAGCACTTGATGTCCTAAGGCTACATGGGGTCATGGGTTTTATGGTGTAAGGGTTAGGGTCTAAGATTTTTGGGTCTTAGTTTTTTTGGGGTCTAAGTTTTTCGGAGGTGTAAGTTTGTTTGGGGTCTAATGTTTTTGGGTTCTAAGGTTTTTAGGGGTCTAATTGTTTGGGGTTCTAAGATTTTAGGGTCTAAGGTTTTTTGTGGTCTAAGGTTTTTAGGGGTCTAAGGTTTTTTGGGGATTAAGGTTTTTTGGGCTCTAAGGTTTTGGGGCCTAAGGTTTTTGGGTTCTAAGGTCTTTGGGGCCTAAGTTTTTTGAGTCTTTTAGCACTTATTTGTACAATTTTTGCAGAATTTGTAAGGTTAAGATAGAAGGGTGGTTGAATACTAGATGTAGCAGACTTTTTACCAGCACTGTTAAACAGTCTTTGATTAATTTTTCTATTAACTATCTACACAATTTTAATACACTTTTTGATAGTTTGTATCTCAAAATTCAGGTCTTGCGTTTTTTGGGTCCCAGCTTCATGGGTCATAGGGTTTTTGGGTCTCAGTTTTTTTATAAGTCATAGGTGTTCTAGATCTTTGAAATATCATGGTTTTTTCAGATCCTATTTTGGTTTTACATTTTGAGCCTCTTATTGCCAGCTTATGGTCTTTTAGGTCCTGTGTTCTCTAGGTCTCAGGTTTTTTTGGATCAAGGGGTTTTTGTGTCTTAAGTCTTTGTATCTAAGGCTTAGGTTGGGCAACTGATTTGAGGCACACCTCATATCTCATATTTTCATATATACATGGTTTTAAGCATAAGCCTTTTCAAAAAGGAGATTAACTGCCTTTTGTACAAGTAACTGTAGGATGGACCCCACTGCTAAGGTTTAGCTTTGGAAACTAAATAAGCAGAAGTAATTATCGGTACTACTGCTAACATTGTGCTGCCAGAGTTTTGAGTTTTGTAATCTTAGGGTTTCATCACTGGGTCTGGTTAAGGCTGGGATGTCTAGGTCTTGAAAATATTGTTTTTGGTGGGTTAGCCCTTAAAATCTTAGTTTTCAGATCTCTTCTCTTTCCTGATCTTGGGTGTTTCAGGTTTACCAGATTTCAGGGTATGGAGTTTTTTTGCTTTAGATCTCTTAGAATCTTCAGTTCTAAGGATTTCTGGCACTTAAGTTTTGCAGAAATCAAGCCTCTGGGATCATAGGTTCCTGTTTCTCAGATTCCCTGGCCTATAGTATAGCATTTTTACTTTTTCATGCCTTATTTATTTATTTATTTATTTAAATAAGTCTCCCAGATATGTGGGTGTAAGGTTTTCCCAGTGTTAGGTTACCTGGATCCAAGGTATATGGGTCTCTGATTTCCAGGCCTTAGGCATTTAATTTTATCTTGGGGTAGGTTTAGAGGTCCCAAATTTTGTTAGTTCTTGATTTCTGGGCCTCAGCTTTTTGGGCAGTGGTTCCTCTGAGCAACAGGTCAATGGGTCTTTAGTTTTGTTAATCTTATGTTCCCAGATCTCAGATCTTTTTGGTTCTAAGTATATTTCCTGGTCCTGGTTCTTGGGTTTCAAGGTCCCAGGTTAATTAAATCTCCACTTTCCAGGTCCCTTAATTCTTTTTTGGGGTGTTAAGTGGTAAGGTCTTAATGTTAAGGATCTCTGGGTGTGGTGTTTTATGGGGTCTTAGGTTCCTGCAGTCCAATTCTTAGTGGTTTTAGGCTTTTGGGTTTTAAGCCTTGGAGTCATAGGTTCTTTGAAGGTTTTCATTTTTCAGGGTCTCCAGAAGTCTTTGCTTTCACACTGATGATGTTGGTGTTCATTAGCACAAACTATTCATAATTAGTAGTATAAATATTTTAGTTTGGTTATGGTTACCTCATCATCTTGTCTCTTAGGCTGCATTTGTTGCTGCTAACTAAGATTTTTCACCAGGTAGTTCATTCATAGTGTAGATGAACAAATTTTTGGGTTTTACTGGGTTTGCCGTAATTTTGTCAAATTATGAAAGCAGATTCTTCATGAATTCACCTTAGTATGGCCAAAATTAATATCCAAAATCAAAATTTCATGAATCAAGGTTGTTTCTGCAATAAGTGAAAACCCTAAGCTAGATACAATTTCACTTTGCATATTTCCCTGGATATTTCTCTTTGCAAATAATGATATCCGTTAAGATTTCCTGTAGGTCTCTATAAACTTTTTTCAGCACTCAGTTCTACAGCTGATAGGTTTTTCTAAGCTCAGTAATCTGGGCATATCCGTGAACTAGCTAAGTAGGTTAAGGCTTTATGCCATTGATGAGCATCATCAAAAAAGAAACATTATCGTTATTTATATCATTATTTATAATTTGCTAGGTTATTGATTGTGCTAATGAGCTTGCATATCTACTTAATTTTTTTCAGTATATTCTTTAGTTTCAGATTGCTGGTGGCACACACCCTTAGAAGCTAGAACAAAGGAAAAAAATTTAGTCAATCACATCCCTGCTGGGTTGTGGAAGCTCTGTCTGTTCTAAGGTGTGATTCTGATGTCCTCTGAAATATTCCAATTGAGAATTCCTGTGATGCTTTGTCTGATCCTAAAATTCAAGCTGGGGACAGTTGGACACTTGGAAGAGTTGGCCACTTGCTCTCAAGTAGGGAGGACAGTGTAAAGGAAGGTGAGAGTTTGCTCTTTTGTCTTTGGGGTCTCACCTAATTTGTCACAGAACTGCTGCATCAATTTGACAAGTTTTGGCCTCAGAAGGTGCTTTATTTGCATTCAATGTATTTCTTGAAATGTTCTACAGCCAAGGATCATTAAAACAGTTGTGCTGAATTGTAGGAGTCAATTTAGGTGTATTTACATTGGGAGTGCGGATTTTTGCTGGATTTCTCTGGTCTGGTTTGACTGGACTCACACAAATGACATCAAATTGAGCTAATAGTTACTGGGGGTCTCTCTGATGGGTTGATACTGAATCCAAAATCTCTCTTCTTTAGTTTTTCATTTCATTATAACTTAAATATAAAACAAAATAATAACCATAGGCCTAATTAGAAATAAACAAAATTTACTTGAAATTTTTTTCTCACTAAAGTAGAAAACATTATTTTAGATACTATCGGTTTAGGATAACCATAGTGTAGTAGGTATATAGTTATGAAAATAAATTATAAAAACTACGTCTAGTCATTGATAAGGACTAACCCTAAGTGGCATTTCCTTTCAATCTAAAAATAATTCTATTACTCTAGGATTTTCCTCCTCTTGAATTGGATGAAACTTATCTTTACTTTTATTTCAGGAAAAATTTCTTCATCTCTTTTTTTCTACTTAAGCAGAATTTATTTACCATAAAAACATCATATTGTAGATACTTTAATTTCAGGATTAGTTTATTTTTTCGATGTGGAATAATAAAACAGGATTATATACAATAGGCTTAGTCATGAATGGGCAAATTTCCTTTGTTTTTTTTTGATAAAGTAGCATTTTTTTCCTAAATTAGGATAAGTAATACTTAAAGGATTTTCATCATCCTTCGCCAACTAAAAATTATCTTAGTTTTATTTTGGAAAAAACCTAAATCAAAGGACTAATACAGATAGATAAGGAGTTGAGTTGCTTTTACATTATTTAGAATAATTACAGATCCTACTTTTATTGGCGTTCACGCGGCTGTTCGTTGGCTCGTCACGCAGCTGTTTGTTGACTCGTCACGCAATGTTCCAGTCACAGATGAGTTTGTGGCGGGAGCATTCTTAGGAATAATCAGCATAGGAATAAAAACATACTTTAGCTGAAATTTAAACATCTAACCGATCTAGGTTTGGAGGCCAATTTAAATCGCATGAATAAATAATTTGAAGGGCTTGGGTAAATCTATTCCTATCTTGTTAGCCATTAGAATTACTGCGTCCTAGTCTTTAGCTTAGTCTTAAAACTTCCAAGGTTTACTAACATTTGTTTAGCTTTTCACTTAGTTTAAGGCTCGTTCGGTTTTTTGTTTGTTTGACTGTTTCAGATCACGGACGTTCTCTGGGGAGTTGTTCTTTTATTTTCTCCTTCAATTATTCCGTCGAATGCTTGTGTATGATTGAAGATTGAAAAGGAACAATTCCCCGTTGACGTCTTGTGATTTAAAATAGTCAAAAAACAAACCAAGCCGAATGTGCATAATTAACATAAACCTTTCGCAATCATTTTTTCCTTATTTCAAATAAATCTAAACCTTTTCAGAAGTCATAAGGATAAAAAATCGTAGCAAATAATTTTCAATCAAATTAGAGAGAGATTCTGGTTTGGGTATCTTCACTGATGAGAAATTTAGCGACTTGTGCTCTTTGGTAACATTTGTGTGATAAAGTCAAACCAGACTAGTGCGATTCAGTATCTTTCCTTGCTTTTAGTGGCGGTGCACTGAAAATTAGTCACCTCAAGTTTGCGCTTCAGTTTTTTTGTCCTGGTTGGGAACATTTCTAACTCAATTAGGTTTTTTTCTACTGATTTTATGGCGCGATTTTTTCTACTGCCGCCGAGGCAAATCACTTTAGCTTTTGATACATTGATTTGCAGATCAGCACCTTCAGCCAAATTCCATTTCGCATTTTAATTTTTTCCCGACTCATTAATTCCAAAATTAGCTGCGGTATTGTGACAAATTAGGAGAAAGACCCTGGAGGCATTGGGAGCAAACTCTCACTTTCCTTTACCCTGTCCCCCCTACTTGGGAGCAAGTGGTCAACTCTTCCAAGTGTTCAACTGTCCCCAGCTTGGACTAAGGGATCAGATGGAACTGTACAGGATTTGAAAGTTGGAATACATTATTGCTTTTTTTTTAACCATTTTTTTATATAGTAAAGTCATGGACAACAGAGACAATGTTTTATTTCCTCAATAAAATGGCATGTTGTTTTACTTTGCAATCCAGTTGTTTGAGTGAACTAAATAAACCTCTCAAATAAAACCAAGTTCAATGGAAGTTTCAACAAAACTTTGTGGTGTCGAGTTATGTTTGGTTTCAAGCAAACAGTTCATTTATATTACCCAAGTACACTGCAGACACAAACTTTGGCCGAAACTTAACTAAGAATTTCTTTGTCACATAATCCGAATTCGTGACATAATGTACACTTTTGTTGCGTGACAATAGGGAACAATATTACTTGCATTGATAATTAAATTTCAGATATGTTTACGGCGTACATTGAAACAGAAACAACCTTTTTTTCAGAATCCACAGTACCACAGAGTATTATTGAAACCTCAAAAATTATTTACTGTGAATACAAACTCAGTCCTTTTATAATGTTCGATCTCTAACTTCCCCCAGCGCGTTCCGATCGATTTATCTTCCTATGTTAGTGTTAAGAATTTTGCGCAAAATCAACTTCCCTTTTCCCGATTTCAAGATCGCAATCATAGAGAGGAATTAAATCTGTTTTAGGACTGAAGAGTTCAGGTATATCTTCTGAAAACCTCTCCATTTTCCTCAGTTAATCTTAATTACTTGTGAGCGGGAGGAAGTCTTATAAAAATTCCTGTTACTTCGGAAAATTATTCGGTCGATCGACAACCTAAGAAAGCAACTCTGACCAATCATAATTAAAATTGAGGAAAAAAAATCATTTTTCAAGAGTTTTGTTTCCTAAAATTTGACCTAATATTGGAAAAAAGATTAACCAGTCTATGTGTGACTTAAAAATTTCCTTTAAAAGCGACGTTTGAGTTTTTGATTTGCGTTTACGTTGCGTAAAATTTTTCTTTCCATTTTGATAACAAATTTTTTTGGGGGGATTCGCGTGACATGTGACATTGTTTTGGTAACACATGGTACAATCAGTCACGCAATAGTAAACATGTTTGTTTTCTGAAATACAAAAATAAATTTGAACAAAGCTGATATTTTGTAATTTGAAAATGATTGAAACTCAGTTCACTGAGGAAAAGCTGGAGAGATTTTAAGAAAATAAACGCATTAAGTTCACAGTAAATAAATTGCATTAAGGCCTATTTACACGGCACGACTTTGTCGCATGCGACAAGCTTACGACAGGCCTACGACATGACTTAAGAGTCGTAAGCGAGTTGTAGGTTTGATTTACACGAACCAATTAGTGTCGTAAGCCTGTCGTAAGCTTGTCGCATGCGACAAAGTCGTACCGTGTAAATAGGCCCTTACACAGTCAAACCATCCATTGATAACAACCTTAGATTGACCAAAATAAATGTTTTCAATATGTAACTTAATAAATTAAAGTAATTTGGAGGCAATTGTACAGCATGAGACACTATTCTGAACAATAAATGTTGTCATGAAACAGTTTCTTGGTGCCTCTTTCAAAACCTGTGTGTTTGCACTGTAAGCACGAGTTTTCTTCCTAACAGCTCAGTTCACTGAAAGCAATGATTTGTTAGCCTTATCCTCCGACTTGCAAAGATGTCATTAATTCAAAGCACTACTCAAGATGCAAATTTTTGATATGGTGTTTCCAGTCAATGTCAACAGCAAGTCTCCGTAACAAACTCAAGCATTTCTTTAGGAAAAAAGCATTGTTTTCATCTTGCAGCGACTAAGGTGAAGAGTTGTATTGATAAAGAGGATTTTCAAGTGCAAGTCAATTTAACCATGTAACCATTTTGGTAGTGTTTTTTTGGCCAATTACTTTTAAACAGTTCTTTTTTATTTGAAACTTAATAAATAGAAATTGCCTTTACAGAAAAATTTAAGTGAGACATTATCCTTCATTTTCTAAAAGGTTGCCCCTTAGTAAGGTTTGACTGTATATAAAATAACCTGGACATGCAATTTACTAAAGAAACATGCATTAGATTCTACTGATTGTATGGAGGGCTAAGATAACAACAAAGCCACAAAATTTCAAAGGAAATAACTTGAAAAAATTTTCCCAACAGTACCCCTGCTATTACTTAGTCATGTCTTTTCTTCTATGCTTAATCAACCTCTCCTTCCCAATTTTTGGACTAAAAGCAACCCAGAGAAAAGCCAGCAGGAAAGAGGAAAAAAGCAAACTGGGGGAATAGGAGCTACTATCGAGGGTGCCTTTGTTTATTCTCTCCCTTTCTTTTGGTTGTCACATACTATCGAGGGTGCCTTTGTTTATTCTCTCCCTTTCTTTTGGTTGTCACATACTATCGAGGGTGCCTTTGTTTATTCTCTCCCTTTCTTTTGGTTGTCACATGGTTACTGTACCTTTTTAAAAACTATACCTAAATTCCTTTTTTTCAGTTCTTAACCTAATTGGAAATTTCAACATTCATGTTCTTCAATTGACTTTTAGGTAACTGATGTTGTATCACAATTTGCCTATTGTAAGCAGTGTACAAAGTTCAAGTAAAGTCTCAGACTATGCCATCTCAACTAAAAACCTCTTGATGCGATCACAGGATGAAGCTCCTTTCCACTCAAAGATTCACAAATTAGTTGGTAGAGAATCACATTGTTATCAGAAAGTTTGCAAATTCTAAGGCATTCTTTTCCAATTGCACAAATTATAATTATACTGAAGATATTGTCACTACTCTGTGTTGAATGCCTATGTTTGTTCTTGTGTTGTCCCACAATTTTGTTTACAAGAAAAATTGCAAACCAATCAATATAAATTCTCTCAGGGGCTACAGCACTGAATTTGTTTCCATGGTAAATTAGTCCTTACCATTGGTCACATTCAGAGCTAAGGACATGAGTGGAGGGGTAAGGGGAGACATGGGTGGAGGGGGTAGGGGGAGTGTGGAAGGACACTGTGAAGCAGCCTAAGATTGAGACAGAGATGCTCAGGCTTACAGTGAACCCTCCTCCCTCCTTCCCTACCATGTTCCAATACAAAATGTAGGGGAGTAATTCATATCTAATACACAGTGAGAATCAAGCATGGTTCTTTAGATAGAGTGCATGTCTCAGGTGAATATAGCACTGAACTTGGCTTAAACAAGAATTTTGTTTACCTGGTTCACCCAAAGGCTGGATTGCAATTAAGTAAAACAACAACTCTTTGAAGATGATGGTCATGTCCTGATTGCTGCAGCTGATCCACTTCATGTTCCAGTTCCCATATTCCTGTTTGATAAAATGTCAATTATCAATGTAACATTTGATATAACTACAACTCAAAAAGCAAGCATGCAGCCATGATGTATTAAGTGGGTGAGTTGAAAGGTTATGGCTAATGGTCTCAATGTAGCTGATTTATTTTAATAAATTGTGGATTTCACAAGAAAATAAAACCGCTTTTTTTCCAAAAAAAATCAACAAAGAGTTAACATTATAAATTTACATAAACAAGCCTTGAAGTGCCCTGGTTACAAAATGGCGATGAGTTTTACCAGGTATTGTCCCTTGAAGTAGTCTAAGAGAGTATATGAGAAATCTCTCTAAGTCTTATGGTAGCATTAAACTAAAAAATAAAGTAAAGTAAAATAAACGCGCAAATCTTACCGTGTTAAATGCGAACAAATCATTGTCATCGCCGGGAACCTGATGTCTTAAATAATTTCCCACCACCAGCCTGAAAACGGAGTAAATTCAGTCTACAAATGTTGAAAATGAAGTAATAACACTTTTTAAGCACTAGAATACGAAACAAACCTTTTTAGAAGAATTAAGTCGATTGAATTGAGTAATCTTCCTGGGCCACACGACCACTTGACATGGCCGCCATGCCAAACAATTGCTATGCATGATGGGACTTGTCTTGGATTACTTCCGCCTTTTTCCCGCCTTCTTTGATTCCTCGGAAAGACACTGACGACTAGCATTTTCTCTGATAAGAACTTAAACTGTAAACATCTAGCAAAATATCTTCTTGAAAAATAATTTATTACCTACCTCTGGATGCAGAAATTTAAGAGGGGAGTGGTTGATAGCGAAAATACCAATCGAATGACCGATGAAGAAGATAAAAAGGAAACACGTTGATCCAGAAGGGAAACTAAGAGTGATGTGAGGGAAATTTCAACAGAAACGCCAAAGAAAGATTGTCTATCCCCCTAAAAGCTAATGCTTAGTTTTAAAATCAAGGAAGTTGATAAAATAAAACTTCAAGAGGTTAATTACTTTTTAATCATATCTGTGGGAGCTAAGGGTAAAATAGGAATGGGTAATGGTTGGTATAGGAAACCCCAACCGGGACGGGCGGAACGCTCAACTAAATGGACGGAGTTATCACAGACAGAGTGATCCAAAAAATGTCCATAAGGAGCCAAGAAATGAAAATTATTTTGAAAATGATCACATATTCTTTGAGATTGATCAGTTACAAGGAAACCTTTAGCTAAACCTACCCTTTAAGGGGTTTTCATCACTATTGGAGCACCATCTTTATTTTAACAGGTTCAAGGGCATAGCTAGGGGAGGTGGGGGTCCTTTGATTAAAAAGTATTTTTTGTTTGTCTGTAATATCTAAGCCTTACACTCCTGGTAGTGGAAACAGGCAAAAACAGAGAATGTATATGGCATAGATCATTTCCCATGTGAGATGAGCAGCCATAAAGCCACAGAAACAATCAAACTGAATTTACTGATAGCAGAAATTTATTAAGTTAAAAAACTGTTGTTGTAATTATAATAGAAGTATGCAGTCACATGGAAAACCTTCAGACCAAAAGAGACCAAATACATTCATTTCATTAATTATAAAACATAAATAATGATCTGTAAAATATTTTACAAGTAACTGAAGGCATAACATTTCACTTTGAAGAAATATACTTTTTTGTATTTCTGGCAAATATCAATTTTCACTTTTTTATATCCCCACCTATGAAGTAAGAGCCTTACTTTGGAGAGGATACAGAAGCAGATAAGAACATTTTTTTCATAGATTTTCACTCTATGAGAATTTGACACAATGGAAATAATCATAGTTGCGACAAAGATGATGATGATGATGGAGTTGTTGATGGTTCTCTGAGCAGATTTTTCACATTTAAGTCAATTCAAATTGCTAATTTTTAGTAACTCTTGAGGGATTGAGCAACATATCTGGCTGTCTCACAGATTACTAAAAGTTTAAACACAGTCTCCCTTTTCTAATAGGTTCCTTTAAACCTTTGACCCTAGGAGTGACTAAAATTTAATTTCTCCTTACAATATCACTCCTGAATCACACATTAAGGTCACAAGAATAAAGGAAATGATCACCAACTAAAGAATCCCAAAATTGTTGAACAAATTCTCCTTACCAGCACCTTAGGAATTGTATAGAGAACAGTATGGAGAATATGCAAACTGATTCTAGGATGTGAAGGGTTAAGAAAAGAAAATCCTCTGCCTCAAAGAGAGGTGAAATCCCTAAGAGAGATTAAGTATCTAAATTAAAAAAGATGATTAAATTACTTCAGGCAATCTTGTAAGATCAAAGGAAGAACTTTTTGCGGCTTGTATCCATCTCTTTTCTCTGCAAAACAGAAAGATAACGAAAATTGAGAAGCTCTTCAGTGATAGGAAAAAAATACTATTCTAGTAAATAAATTCTCTTTTTGGGTTGAATGTTGTATCATTTTAGAACAAATCATTTTCATCTTAAGATTGCCTCCATAAAAAAAAAATTCTACTGAAGCCATTCAAAGTAATCACTTTTCAAAAGCCATGTGCCAAAAATTATTGTTGTTGTTACAGTAAGCTTATGTTCCTCCTGAAATTCAATTGTACAAACCTTATGAATCCATTCATATTCTCCAAACTTGGAATCAAAAGTTCCTCGTTGTAAAGAGCGGAGCTTAAGTGTAAATCTGGGGCCCAATTCTTGCAGCCCTGCCTTCTTTTGGTTCTTAAAAATATATCTGGAAAAAAAAACAATTCATTGTCTTCAAAAAGATAATAAGGTTAACCCTTCAACTTCTGGACCAAATTTTTAATTCTCCTTACTGTCAACCATACAATTCTTATAATGTTAGTTCAGAGAATTAAGTATTGGATCAACTTATTATCCCCAAATTGATCTTTTTCTTTATTCTCATCACTCATCTGGTTAATATTGTATTGATATTGTAAGGAGAAATGTTGTCTTGGTCACTCATGGGAGTTAAAGGGGTAACCCTTTCACTCTAAAGAGTGATCAATAAGGAATTTCTCCTAACTGTACCAATACATTTTTTTAGCAGAAAGGTAAAGAGAGAAAAGAAAAATATCAGTTAACCCTTTAACCCCCAAGAGTGATTAGCAACTAATTTCTCCCATCAATATCACAGTCAAAACAAACATTGAGGTCATGAGAATAGAGGAAATGATCACCAACTAAAGAAGCTCTTGATTGTTAAACAAATTCTCCTTGTCAGTACCATAGGAAATGTATAGAGAACAGTATGGAGAAAATATATACTGAAGTTAGTGTGTAAAGGGTTAAGGGTAATAGTTCGATATACCTAAATACAAATTCTCAGATTGAAAACAATGAGAAAGGCACTGTAGATAAACCTGATATTTTGATCTTAGGAGTGAAAGGGTTCAGTTGCCTTATAAAGTCAGAAGGCATAATCTGTTGGAAAAGACACCAGTTTCAGTAGCATGAGGCAACTACAAATATTTCTACACCCCTCTCTTTCCCCAGGCAGGATAGGAATCTGTCACAAGGTTACCTTCCAGCGTTTTGTCAAGTTTTAGTGACAGTGTGCCAGTACCTATTTTTACCCTTAACCCTTTAACTCCCATAAGTGACCAAGACAGAATTTCTCCTTACAGTGTTAATACAATATCAACCAGATAAGTGATGAGAACAAAGAAAAATGTTAATTTGGAGATAATAAGTTGATTCAATACTAAATTCTCTGAACTAACATTATAATAATTGTATGGTTGACAGTAAGGAGAATTACAAATTTGATCTGGGAGTTAAAGGGTTAAGTGGACAGAGGTATTGTGTGAGGGAAGGGACTAGTAAAAGAACACAACACAGTGAGCCAGATAGTGCTCAGACCCTCAGTCCAGTCAAGTTCACTAACCATGTAACCACCATACAATACATATTAAATAATAAATAATATATCAATAAATGCTTTATTTATATAGCACTATTTCTATCACCATCCAATAGTGCTTTACAATGACTGAAATAAACATAGAGTGCTTGAAAATGCCAACTGGTAGGAGGCAGACAAGTTGGCTATTTACACAGCGCAGCAGAGGAATTGAACTCAGGTTTACCAAGAACAAATCCTGAGAGGAGCAGGGTGGAGGACTTGAACCTGGGACCACCCGATTACAAGTCCAGCACCCTAACCACTCAGCCATGCTGCCTCCTCTAAGGATCAGGGAAGGTTAAGGATGGAGAAAACTCAACTACATAATAAGCTGAATCTCCTTCACAATTTGATTAGTTCTTACTAATGATCTATTGCAGGACAGATGCAAAGATGATGTCATCATTAACAATTTTTGGCTTTTTGAATTTCAAACAAAAACATTCCAAGTTGCTGTGGGTCTGTTGATAAGTAATAGGTCACAGAAGATGTCAAAATGTGGTAAAAGCATTTAATAAGTGACTCACTTGTCTCTGCCCCATAAGCCACTTTCTTGTTCTTTCCACATTTCAACATCACGTGTGATCGATTACTGTACAGACACATGGCGACATAAAATCTATTTGTTAAATGGATTACAGGTGAAACATGCAATTTCAAAATTTATGGGGCACAAAAATTATAATATGGCATTGCAAAGGGGAGATGTAAAAACTATGCTGTATTTTCTTAACCAGGTCATTGTAAAGCAGATTTCCACAGCCCTGTAAGGAGGATAAATTTTTTTAAAAGGACTGTAACCCTAAATCCCCTTTATGATGGTTCATCAAACTTGAAGTGATTACCTGTGATGTCTAAAGAAAATGAAGTCTCGCTGGTTATGAAAAGTAACACACTGTCTGCCTTGAAACTGGGGATCATAAGGGAAGAGGGCAGCTAGAAGACGAGCCACAGAATGACCAAGACGTGTGCTAAAGTTATTGAGTATAACCTCTGGTCTGTGGCTTGTCTTACGACCATGGTTCTGAAAAAAAATACATAAACCTTTGTGAAACACAACAACAAGCTTGATTTCATTTCATGTCAAAATTAAACCTAGTCTTATGCAGCTCCTCTACCTCTGCATAAAGTGGTTACAGTTAATTCTGTACTTGTACCAGGTGGCTCAGCCAGCCCAGCTTATCCCAGTTTCCTTAGCGTAAAGCAACTAGCAGTATCACCACTCCCCCTTGGATAGGATGCTGGTCCATCACAGGGTTTCCCCCTTGCATTTCATCAGGCTTCCCTGACAATTCACCAGTACCCAGTCCCGGGTACATCTGGGTGGAGAGAGGCATGGTGAGAGTGGAGTGATCTGCCCAAGAACACAACACAAGGATTAGCTGGGTCTTGAACCCAGACCTCTCCACCCAGAATCCAACACACTAAATATTACACCACCATGTCTTCCACATTTAGTCATGTATAATTAAATAATATTATGCTTCAGAGAAATGCAGTTGTAATATTAGTAAATTAGTTTATAATTTGATCTCTACCTCTCTAATTGTTTTTTTTTCTAGATGTCCTGAAAACAACATCAGAAAAACCTTAACTGATTTTCCTTTTCCCTTTTGTTAAACCATTTTCTCAGTAGCAGGAGCAGTAACAATACTCTACGAGGCTTTTTGCAAAAATGGAAAAATGGAATGACTTCCTCATTTAACCTTTTAACCCCTAGGGTTGGATAAGCATCTGGTTCCTCCCAACAGTATCACCCCTGAATCAAACATTTACATTAAGGGAATAAATGAAATGATAGCAAACTCGAAAAAGCGCCTGATAGTATGACAAACTCTCCTTATAAGTATCATAGGAAATGTATAGAGAACAGTATGGAGAATATGCAAACTGATGTTAGGGTGTAAAGGATTAAACCATCTGAGGGAAGAATATTAGTTTTTGTTACATGCCTCACCTTGATTGTCCTGCCAAGTTTCACGCTGGTCAATTTAAAGTGTGCAGTTGGTCCATCTGGTAAATGACTTATCACTATTCCATCTAAAAACATTTTGTTAGGGGAAAACACAGACAAAACCACTCATGTAGAGATCTTGGAGAGAGCTCCTAAGCAAAGATATTACAGATGACCTTTAAAATTCTTCAAACTAAGACAACCCCAAATTTTTGTTCCTTGAAAAAAATATTTAAAGTGAAAAGGTTTTTACATGAGGTGTTCTCCACTTCAAACCACTTATTTCCAGAAGCAGAAGTACTTTGATATTTATCATTTTCCAGAAAGGGTTTACAAGACATCATTTTAACTTTGAGTGCTTAATACTTTCTATTAATAACATCTGTGGGAGGTAAAGCAATACAGCAATCTGCAGCTTTAACCCCTAAGAATTAAGATGATCATACTGGCCATAAGTGTAGAAGTCTATGAAGCTGACCCTCCCCTCCCCCTATCCCTTACAGAGTCTAGAGACACCAACCTCCATGTGGACTAGTAAAGGGAGTCTTACTCCCATTTCACACCAAAATTTTAAGAAATACTCAAGACATATATGTATCACATGTATGTCAAACAGTATTTCATGCATCACAAGCTTAAAAGGGAAGACTTCAAATCTTCTTTTCTGAACCTTTCTTAGAAAGGAAAGAAATTTTACATGTAATATAATAATTTCGGGCTTAAGGCCTTAGCCATCCTCCTCTGTGAAAATGCAGTCAACAGATTTCTCCCTCAAACATCATATCCCACACTGATGAAAAAGGATACTTGGCATTTTTTTGTCTTCATTGACAACAACAAGAGCTGTAAATCCTTTTTCCTTAGCTTGAGGAATAATTTTCTTCAAATCTATACCCTTCCGAACACGGACCTCGGAATTTGGGATGATGCGTTGAAGTTCCTTCATAAACTGTACTGTTTTCTAGAGACAACAGTAAAACAAATTCACTGAATAAATAAGAGACTAAGGTAAACATATTTGTGGAACTTCAATGTTCTAACTCATTCGCTATGTGTTGATGTTATCATTAAGCAAGCCCCTGTCTTCATACAATGAAAATTAAACCCCTTAACTCCCAGATCAAATTTGTAATTCTCCTTACTGTCAACCATACAATTCTTGTAATGTTAATTCTGAGAATTTAGTATCGAATCAACTAATTATCCCCAAATTGATACTTTGCTTTATTCTCATCACTTATCTGGTTGATATTGTATTGATATTGTAAGGAGAAATTCTGTCTTGGTCACTCATGGGAGTTCAGTGGTTAAGAATTTTTTTTGTTATGAAGAAAATACAATTAAATTTAACAAAACAAGTATTTAACTTGTGTTCATTTTGAAAATGAGGGCTTTAGGGCATGTTTAACAGTTTTGTTTTCCACTCGTCCATTATTTAGTTCCTAGAATGTCAAAGATCCATATCATATCAGTTCTCAAAATAATCCTTTCACTTGTAAGATCCCAAAGGTTATTTCCCTTGCTAACAATGTTGTACTTCTTTGCTGACTGTTTGCAAAACTTTTCTCAGGGGTAGAGCAGGCTGGAGTGTCAAATAAGCCAGCTGACTCTTCTGAATGCTCATGGCTCAATATTTAACACAGAAGCATGACATTGATGGGAATGAAACTGTTTAGTGCTGCCTACTTTGTACCACAGTCCCCTTACTCAAAACCGTTTTAACAACCCTGAAAAGGTATTAAAATTGTTGGGAGAATGTATCATTTGATTACTCCAAGGAATACAAGGAATCAGCAAAATAACATAACATTTAAAATTCAGTATTCATATTCAAACATACCACTTTTGATCTGTCACTTGATGTGATAAGGACCTTGGGTACTACCTCGCATCTAAAGTATGCCGCAAACTCATCAGTTTCTTCATCATTTAAGACCTGTGTAGTTAAAAACACTCTCTTAATAATTTGCTCTTGCCATAACTGTAATAATAGCACATACAAATTCACAAATGGCAAATTATTCTGCTCATTACTACAAATTTCTAAATACTGGTGTGTCTAAAACTCAAGTACAGGCTAAGGAATTTGTTACCTACAATTACAATTTAATTTGGCAAGTATCTTACCTCCTCATCCTGTGGCTCTACAATGGTCTCATCAGCAACTCGAGTGTTGTCAATAGTTCTTGGAACTTGCTTTGGTTTAGGCTGTTATGAAACATGTCACATTTAGAGTTTGAAACTACCCTTTACATGATGAGCTGAATTATACACACATTTTGAGTGGTTCTTATTTAAGGTCTGTTGGAAGACAGACACATAGATGACATCATTGTTAACAACATTTTGTTTTTTTATCATCCAAAACATGTAGATTCCATGTTGCCGTGGATCTGTATAGTAGTAATAATACATATAATCATAATAATATTAATGTGAGTTTAATAGTGGACATTCCAGGTGGCTCTTCTTGTCCACATGTAATGTGATGCCAGGTCCAGGATTCAAACCCCTGCCATAGCAGGCTGCAGCAGTGGGAGGCAAGCACTCTCACTACTGTATCATACCCCCTCCCTAATCATAGAAGACAACAAATTGTGGTAAAACACTTGCAGTAGCTACATCTTGTGTGCCACTTTTTTGCTCTCCCCATATTTTAATGTCATCTGTCATGTTTCTGAGCAGATCAATGGCATCATGGAATCTGTATGTTAATTTGACCATGGCAGGAATGATTCTCAGAGAGTCCAAACCATCTTCCTTTAATTTCCTCCTTCCCTTTTCTGATGTTCTTTGTTTGACATCTAATTGGAGCCAGTTTAGAACATCTGAGAATCAGCTTAACAGCTGTGCGTCTGTTCATGAATAGGTCACAGGTGATGTCAGTGATGTGGTTAGAACAAAAAAGTGGCATACAAGGTACATCGGGGTGTACCACTGATGTTCTTACCACTTTTTTACAACTTCTGCGATCTATTAATGAACAAACCCATGACAACATGGAAAACATTTGTTTTATATGATAAAAGCAACATGTTATTCATGATGACACAATCTATGCATCTGACCTCCAATAAATCATAAGTAAGAACCTATCAAAATACATGTAGGATACAGCCCATCATATAATATACTTATATTCAACAGTTTTAAACTTGATTTATTAGTCAAGCAGCAAACAAAACACATTTAAACGATGGCAATGAGTTGAAAGGATGATTCTAGATTAGGACAATGTCATTCAAAGCACTTGCCATTTACTTGTGCCATTCAATCAATCAGTCTAAACACTGCTATTTCAACAACACAGCAGTCATTTTAACCCTTTATATCCTAACATCAGAATACATATTCTTAATATCCTTCTCTTTACATTTCCTTTTGTACTAAAAAGCAGAAATTGGAAAACGATCAAAGCTTCTTGGGTTGGCGATCATATCGTTTATTCTCACGATCTTAAAAAATGATTCAGCTGTATTCATGTAAGGAGAAATTAGATACTGGTAACTCTTTGGGTTTAGAGGGTTAAGCTTCGTGTTTGAAACACATACATCTCAGTTAACAGCTGTTTCGAAGTCAATAACACACCATGTCACTGCATGCATGTTTTGATTCCAACACAATAATAAGCAAATGCTATCACACTTTCACCTTGATTATTAATAAATTAAGCGATCAGAATAATGCAAGTCAAGAAGAAACCCTGTTTACCTTCTCAAAGCATATGGATCCACGTGCAGTTCTGTTTACATGTTAATTTTTTTTTTCATTGCCTTACCTCTCCTTCTTCCTGTGATTCATCCTGTTTTCGTTTACGTTTTCTATCCCTTTTTTCTTTTGCTTTCTTGAGCTTTTCTTTCTGGTAGAGAGAACTCCGTCTTTGCTTATTTTTAATTTGAGAAAAGTCAATCTCTTTTCCCTCTCTGGCCGCCATCTTTGTTCAATGTTGGGACTCAGTCTCTTTGGTCCAAATTTCACATTCCTTACATTCTTGCAAGTATTCTTGTTCCCAGAGTCCTCATAAGTGGACACACAGGTGACCCAAGCTCCAGCTGTGTAGAAGTAAGGTGAGGTTTTTTTTTGAGAATTTGACGTATTATTTTATTCCTTAGGGCGGCCGTAAATATTCCCATACAAACTCTTATAATTACGCCATGACTGTTATTGCGCAAGATGATCATCTCACAGCTGGAGCTTGGGCTGCCTGTGGTGGACATAGACGGTTTCCTTATGGTTACGTGACATGTTAAAACATCCCTTGTGCACGAGCGTAAGCGGTTATGTCGATTACTCTTTCCCTTGTGGTGGACATAGAAGGTTTCCTTATGGTTACGTGACATGTTAAAACATCCCTTGTGCACGAGCGTAAGCGGTTATGTCGATTACTCTTTCCCCCGTGCGCTTATTTAGTTTGATCCGATTATTTATGGTATTTCTCGTTTTTTTCTCCTGTTTAAATATGTGCCGGGTTATGGCAAGGTATGTTGTGGTCAAGGTTGCGAGACACCACATCCAATAAAAAAGGAACTCAAAGAAAAGCATTCAATCAAGATCTTTATTTGCATTTTTGTTCCTTGAGCTGACAGCTCTCTGAATCTCTGAGTTCCCAAATGAGGCACCTTTGTCCTTATTCCGGTGACTGGGTATGAGATTGACAAGCTTCCTGTGATAATATCAATTTTCTCTAGTTTTTCCAAGGTTTCGTCCACACCTAGATCGAACGAAATGTTGGCTGTAAAGATTTACTCAGTCGGATTTCTTTTCGTGCTCGCCGCTCGAGGTAGCTTCCAAAGTAAGTTCTTCCGACATTGAGTAATGTGTAACTTTAGCTGTTAGAACCCAAAACGTATTCTAAAATTGAACAATCCCGTTAATAAGCAGCCTGGCTAATAAGCAATGATAAACTCAGCTGATGTTACCCGTAAACTACATTTAAACTGAGATTTGTTGTATAATCGTGACAGAATCGGAAATCGACTCTCTTCGATACTGATCAGTGAGTGAGTCGTGCCAAATAAGCTGTCAATCATGCAATGTTCCTTTGAAGCTTTTCGAGAGGTTTTGGCTACTGTCGTCGTTCTTTTACTCGAGATGGAACACTTCAGCGTTATTGAAACTTAGAATTGCGAATGGAAGCTTTTACTGAAATGACCAGAGCTCAAAATTGAATGAATGACTGAAAGTGTTGACATGAATGATTGTGCGCGCTGTGCTCGTTTCAGCTCGAGTTTATCTTGGAATAAACGAAGTTGTTAATCATTTAAATTGGGGTGAACTTTTGTTTAAAATACATCATCAAACGGTTCGATTTATTCCAATTTTAATATTAATCTGCCCAATTTTTCTGAGCTCGGAAACATGTTCAACAGAGATGTGATTTCCTTCAATTGACATACGGTATGTAACATTTATTTATAATCTCTTTCGTGCAAAGTTGTTCGTGACACTGAAGGAAGAGGTACTATATCAGCGACAGAATACTTGCAACTGAAACTGTTACTGATACGTTTGATTTCGGTTTTCTTACACGCAATATTCCTCCTCTAAATCTTAGAACAATCTACTCAGAATTTCAGCACAAAATAATTAATTAGATCTTTAAACTATGCGCGTAACTCAAGGATGCGTCGGTGGATCTAACGGTTTATTATTCATCACAAGGCTATCACGGTCTGGCGAGTTCATACGTCTTACAGACAATGAAGACGTGAGAGATCGGAAAGCAACTATTTTTGTTAAAAATATTTATCATATCAATATAACCAGCCTCAAAGACCTTCATTTTTCTTTGCTCATGAAAACTTCTCATGACTACCTCCATTTCGTTCGTGTTGTAATGCTCTTTTCTAGCTATGTAGTTGATCAAATCAGATTTTACACAAGTCTACGGAAAATGCAAATTTTATCACTAAGAATTTTAAAAAAATACAGTCAAGCATTTGTTTTCCAATACATGATATTGCGTAGCCTTGTATCACGAACAGGACGATAATATACACTTTTCGATCTCAAAATGGGCCGAGTAGAAAAATATGCTGAAAATAAGCTGCAGCAAATACGAAAGATTTGTAAAGACTGGAATCTAATCAAAACAAGTTGACCTTTATACAAGTTAGTTTTTAAAAAGTCGATGCTTCTCCATAACTCGATGCAAAAATGAAATATATCAGGCTGCAGGCAAAGCACTGTACAGCAAGACCCTTGGGCTATTGTTTACCAAGAAGTAATCACCGCAGACTGAAATTTGACCGGGCCAATATCAGCGCTGGGAAAGGGTTCAGACAAATTGAACTCTCGAGAATCTTCGCCAAAATTAACAAATAGAGAAAGAGAGACAATCGGATCGAAGTCTTAGGCATTACTGGCTGTTTACAGTTTCTCTCTCTCTCCCTCTCTCTCTCTCTCTCTTTTATTTCTAAAAGTGGGAAATTGACAACGAAGCTACAACAGTTACGCCGCCAGTTTTCAGGTCTTACATCACTTGATCTATCTTTAGAAGTATTTAACGATCACTGGAAACGACGCAAAACGAAGGGCTTTGAGCTGAGTATAGTTGAGATATTAAGGGATAATGAAACGTAACTAGCGCCAGCATCTCTCCTTTGAGAATTTGCAGGGCATTGCAAGTTCTCTCCTGTAGCTTTCTGCCAGATAATGCATCGCTTCCAATCCATGGTTAACTTAAAAGTCGAAATTCCTTTTTCTTTACTTTTCTATCTCGATACAACTGACGTATCTATTCATCTACTGGCATAAAAACATCACAAAAAAAAATTAATTTTGACAGTGGCATCTTGTGATACTGACCAAAATTATCCACTTCGTATGTCAGTAATCTAAGAAAATGACAGATATTTAAATTGGAAATCTGAAATACTTTCTCACCTGAAATAGCTGTAAGTACACATGGAGGGCTGCCATCTTTAAAACCGAGTGAAGTCCTGAGTACTAATACCTTGCAACTCTCAAAAGGGTTGCCTGTGGCCCTGCCGCTTTTAGCATTCGTTTTCTTTGAGACCATTTTTATCATGTGCTGAGAGTAAACCTTATACTTCCCATTGATAATCCCAATAACTTGGTCATATTGAAGTAAAGAATCGAAAGCGTAATTAATTCAAATAGCTGTATTAAGTACAGACAGAGTATTCAATCTTTAAAGCTGTGCAATTCTTGGTACAGATGTTAAAAATTAGGGCTTTGTGACTCATAAGCGGGACTTCTTCCGGCATTTTGTTTCGTATTCCTACATTTTTTTATATATTTCAGACGACACTCATGATTGATGTTTAACCACAGGGTACCCATATATCACGATAAATATCAAAGGAGATAGTCACGTGATGGCATAAGATGAATACAAATGGGTAAAAAAGAACTCTTGGTTATGTTGGAAACCTTTTGTCGTTTAGGAGGATTTTATATTCTTGGCCTCGTTTCCATGGTAGCGAGTTTCTGACATGCGTGGTTCTCGTCTCCAGAGGTTAATGCGGATGGGCCCTAAATCAGAAACTGTTGGTCTTTGGGTCACAGTAATTGCGGCAAAAATGTGTTGTGTTGTGGCAAAGATTCATGCTTTCATCATTAATTTGAACAAGTTTGGTCAAAAACCGCTAAACCTTTCATGTGAACATTTATTTGTGGGTCGTTTACAACTTTCAGCATTACTGCGTAACCTTTTAACCGAAAAGTGTGACCTGCGTCTAATTTCTCCTTACAATAACACCTCTGAATCACACCTCAACGTCACGAGAATAAAGGAAGTGATCACCAACTAACGAAGCTCTTGATTGTTAAACAAATTTTCCTTGCCAGTACCCCAAGAAATGCGCAGAGAACAATATGGAGAATATGCATATTGTTCTTAGGTATTAACAATTCAATTCAAAGGGTTTACCTATGTCGGTCGCAAGGAACAGCCTTTTAACTAATTGGAACACGCTAAGAGCTCATAACTGGAGAGGAAATCAATTCTTCAACCCAATAGTGACCGTTGGTCTGCATCTTATATCGTCTCACTGTATCACTGAAACGATTTTCAACAGTTAAACCTCTTGATTGTTAAACAATACTCCTTGTCAGAGTCATTGGAAACGTACGAGAGCACTATATCTATACTAATGTTAGATTGCTAAGGAATAAAAGGCAGCAGCGATCAAAATTGGGTCTGAAGTCAATGATCTTGTCGTTGGAGAGCGAAGTTAACTCTTCCTAAATGTTTTGTGGCAAACATTTGCTATAAGAAGACTGTTCTTACATGGAAAAATACCCGTACTATCATGCCTGGCTGGCTTTTACCCTATAACTTCCGGGAGTGATTAAAATGTAACTTTTTCCTATGATATCTATACGTTATCTAGAAGGGTTGATAAAATTGTCCTTGTTTCTGTTCTCTTTCAGACTCAGTTGATTACAGAGGTAAAGAGTTCGTCTTGAGCTTCTCGCCTCAACTTCCAAGTTATCTCTTTTCTGGAAACAATATACTCTACATATCCAGCTTCGAAAATGGCACGGTTCGTGTCCACGTGCCTTCTCTCACGAACTCTCCAGAGAAGTCGTACGCCTTGTCAGCTGGAGGTTCAACAATAGTTCAACTGTCGAGCAATACACGCACAAATGGCACCTCAGGACTAAAGAAAAAAAAAGGTATCCGAATCACGGCCGACAAGCCCATGTCTGTGCAGGGATTAGCAAATGCGACCCAAAAAGTAGAAGGGTTTCTTGGGTTGCCTGTGGATGCTCTTGGTATGTTTTACATAGCAGCGGCTTATCACCCAGTGATCAATGCTGTAATTCAGGTCGTAGCGATTGAGGATAACACCACTGTCACGATTACATTGCGAACGAACGGCAAAGTACAGTACCAGGATAATTGGTATGGAAACGGTCAAATCATAAGCGAAACTTTAAATGATTTAGACGTGTTTCAAGTTCTGGCTGAACAGGATCTCACAGGCACCATTATAAGGTCGTCAAAGCCAGTCGCAGTATTTACTGGGGATGACTGCACCCTGGTGCCTGTAAATAAACCGCCATGCAATCACCTGGTGGAGCAGATACCCCCTGTATCCCTCTGGGGGAAATTTTTTGTTACCAACCCCACGCCTAACAGCCCAGGGGGAGACGAATTTCATATAATAGCGTCTCAAAATACTGCAGTTTATGTTGATTCTCAATACAAAGGGATTTTAGACCAAGGAGAGAAATATAAGATCGATGTATCATGGAACAAGTCCTCGGTGATCAGTACTACTCAACCGAGTCTTGTGATGCAATACTCCAAAGCAGGAAAAAGCCCTTCCATGAATGTAGTACCTCCAATGCAGTCTTTCACTAACGACTACACAGTTTATGTTCCTCAAGATGAACAAGGAAACACTTTTGACTGCTATGTAAATGTCATTATTGACACTGCTTCACGAAGCGGTCTTCGCGTGAAGGGTGCAGACAGCGTTGTCAAGAACTGGACCACAATTCTTGGTTCTGGAGGGTTCTCAAGAGCTTCGATTCATTTGACCAGTGTTGGTTCCTACCATGTGTACCACGAAAACCCGCTGTCAACATTTTCTGCAGTTTTTTACGGAATGAATCGCAATGGAATGTTGTTTGCTATGCCGGCTGGGATGGAACTGCCACGGCAGTCACTGGACGATACTTGTAAGCCCACAAACACTGTGGGTGGAGACAACATTGATAATGATTGCGATGGTCTCACGGATGAAGAATTAAAGAATGGAGTTGATGATGATTCAGATGGTGTGGTTGATGAAGACTTAGCCACGCCGGTACCTACATTAACCACGCCCAAAAATTTCGTGACAACCTTATGCAATAGATCATCTGATGTGTTCAATGCAGGTACCGCATCGGGCTCAGCTTACGGCGCATGTCTGGCTCGTGGAGAAGCCAAAATCTCGCACATGGATAATATCGTGACTAACAACACGTGTGGGCGCATAACCGACCGAGTGTGGAATATTACAGATTCTTGTGGTAATTCTGTCACGGGCATCCAGCGTGTAACGGTATATACCCCAGAGGAGCCGACCATAGTCCTTCCGAAAGACATCGTCTTCACTTGTAGGGAGAAGAAGTATCTTGATCCAAAGTTTGCAGGACAGGTTACAGTGACCAATACAAACTTGTGTCCGAGGAATGTGACAATAACCTACGTTGACAGATACAAAGATGACTGTTTAAATTCAAACAGGGAAGGGAGGCTGGAGCGAATTTGGACCGTGAAAGACAAATGTAAAGGGAGTCAAACAAAGTCACAAGTTATCATCCTTGTACCAAAAGGTCAGATAACTCTAAATCAATTTTTTATTATCATGGGAAACGGGGAGGCTGGAGGATTTTGGTTACATTACCATTAAATTTACCTGATCTCTCCCCCCCCCCCCCAAAGGCTCTGTGGTATTCTTATGATCCCCCAGTTAAAACTCTGTTAGAAACGTCTGATCGTCCTCTGCTTCAACTGAAAAACATGTGATGCCCCCTGAAATCCCCCCCTCCCCCCCCGTCCCTGACTTAAGCTGGAACTCGGTTAGCGCAATACTTAAGCTGATTGTCGTCAGCTTGTAATGCAGGATTGCATTCAGTAGTTTTTGCTAAATATTTCCTGATTGGTCGAGAAAACTCGCACCAAATTTCCAACCAATCAGGTACAAAACTAAGCCCAAATGGGACTCGGGCATGTCCATTTTCCCGCGCTATTAAAGATTGTTCTGATTGGCCATTGTAACTTGTCTGTTATTTGGTCAGTTCACCTGTTTTTAGGGTTGAGAAGATCAGCTAACTATGTTGTGTCATTCAAACTAACGAACGAGATGTTTTCGGCCGAACTTCAAGACATGGAATCTCCTGCCTTCAAATCCCTCTCAAGGGGTTTGGAACTTGAGGTAATGTACATAAGCATGGTTTTTTTGGGCCAAGGAAAATAACTTCTTGAAAGGGAAGTTATTGAACCACGGATATCGTCAATGAAATTCTCGTTAAGTTCCCGTCTTGCACTTGGTAATCGTATGCTCACACCACATAACTTTATTATTTGCTCTTCTGTCCAAATTTTAGCTGGAAAAGACATTTATGGAATCGAAATCAATACTTGGACAATTTTTTGTAGCAGCAACCGTTCTTGATTTCAGGTAAGCTCTCGGCTTGGGATTTGTTACGGTCACTTTCCATATTTTACGTTTACTAGCCTTCATTTAATGTGACATTTCTGTTTTACAGCAATGGTAGTGTTATTCCAAGAGTGCTCATTAAAATCGATGCACAAGCTCAAATCAGTCAGTGGCAGTTGGTCGAATTCATGAATGAAACTCTGAAAAGTGGCATGCTTGGACAATACCAGGTGGACCCCACATCAGTTGAGTTGACAGGTATAAATTTTATAATTGTTTTTTTTAGTCGTCAAGCCCCATCTTTATATTTTTCTTCTCTCTTCATTATTCCTCACAATTTATCAACTGGTCATTATTTATCTCTGGGGCTGTCAGAAGATTTTGGTTGTATGACAATCCAATCAACCTGATTTCTCCCCTCCCCCTCCTAAGGCTCTGTAGTATTCTCTGTAGTATTTATGATCCCCTCATTGGTAGTAAATTATCTGTAGTCCCCCCTTTATACTCTTTAAGCAACAACTGATCCCCTCACCATCCCCCCTGAAAATCATATGATCCCTCCAAAATCCTCTGACCCCTCCCTCAAGGTGATAGATTATGACTGAAATTCATATATTTGCATTGCGGTGAAGAGATGAAATTAAGAGATCCTTGCAGCTAAGAACACTACTGAAACGAGTAGTTCAGGTCCTATTTTCAACTACTTGTTTCAGTAGTGTTTTTAGCTGCGAGGATCTCATAATTTCAGATTATGACTGGTTCTTTATTCAACACTTTTTTGGGTGAAAACTGTTAAAATTTCTGTTATGGGAAACTTTGCCAAGTCATTCATGTCATCTGACCCCTCATTGGTTTTTTACAGTATTTATCTTTGTTTTGATTGGTTTTATGACTTTTAAATAGAAGATCACTTTATACCACACGAATAGCCTTTAACTCACTTGAGTGACCGAGACAGAATTTCTCCTTATAATACAAATACAATAACAAGCAGACAAGAGATGAGAATAAAGAAAAATATCAATGAGGGCATGATTAGTTGGTCTACTACCAAATATTCTTAACATACATAATGAGAATGAAATGGCAGCCAGTAAGGAGAATAAATAATGATATCTTGGGATTGAAAGGGTCAAAGGGCAATTAGTCTCAAAATTCATACCTTTACCTTTAGTTTAACATTCTATTTAGTTAATTGCTTTCCCCCAATTATCAAATTTTATCTTAAACAGACTTTGATGAGTGCCAAGCTCCTGATCTCAACAACTGTCACAAAAAAGCGAAATGTACCAACACTGTAGGTTCATATAACTGTTCTTGCCTAAAAGGATTCATTGGGGATGGTGTCCTTTGTCGAGGTAAGCTTTTCTGACCTTTAGTCTTAAAGCTATTAGCATCATGGCCAAACAGACTGATCAGTTTTCATGAACCAGTCTTGTGTGCCACTTTTTTGGTCTCACTGCATTTTAATGTAATTTTTCATCTATTACTGAACAGATCAATGGCAGTATGGAATCTGTATATAATGAAACAAACCCAGCACCAGCATCTTTCCTTTTACAATTTGCAGGGCACCGCAAGCTCTCTCTCCTGTGGCTTTCTGGCAAATAATGCATCGCTTCCAGTCCATGGTTAATTAAAAAGTCGAAATTCTTTTTTTTACTCTTCTATATCTTGATGCAAAGAAAAACGTATCTATTCATCTACTGGCACAAAAACATCACAAAATATATCAAATTTTAACAGTGGCATCTTGTGATAAGTAACAAATTAGTCATTTCGTGTGCCAATAATCTAAGAAAATGATAGATATTTAAACTGGAAATCTGAAATACTTTCTTACCCGAAGTAACTGTAAATAAACACGGAGGCTGCCATCTTTAAAACCTAGTTGAGTCCTGGGTACTAATACCTTGCAACTCTCAAAGGGTTGCCTGTGGCCCTGCTGCTTCTAACGTTCGTTTTTCTTTGAGAGCATTTCTATCTTGTGCTGAGGGTGAAACCTTAAACTTCCTATTGATAATTCCAAAAACTTAGTCATATTGAAGTAAAGAATCGAAAGCCTACTTTAAAAAGTAAAATAGCTGTATTAAGTAAAGACAGGGTGTTCCATCTTTAAAGCTGTGCGATTCCTCGGCCCTGATGTTCAAACTAGAGTTTCGTGACCCATAAGCGGGACCTCTACGGCTATGTTGTTTCGTATTGCTGCCTTTTTTTTTTTGATATTTCACACATCACTCATCATTGATGTTTAACCACAGGGTACCCAAATATTACGATAACTATCAAAGGAGGTGGTCACGTGATGGCATAAGATGAATACAAATGGGTAGAAAATAAGTCATTGGTTATGTTGGAAACCTTTTGTCGTTTAAGAGGATTTTATATTCTTAGCCTCGTTTCCATGTTAGCGAGTTTCTTACATGCGTGGTTCTCGTCTCCAGAGGGTAATGCGGATGGGCCCTATATCACAAAATGTTAGTCTTAGGGTCACAAGTGTTGTAGCAAAGATTCATGCTTTTATCATCAATTTGAACAAGTTTGGTCAAAAACCGCTAAACCTTTCATGCGAACATTTATTTGTGGGGCGTTTACAACTCTCAGCATTACTGCGGAACCTTTTAACCGAAAAGTGTGACCAGCATCTAATTTCTCCTTACAATAACACCTCTGAATCACATTAGCAAGTTCTAAATTGTTAAACAAATTGTCCTTGCCAGTACCCCACGAAATGCACAAAGAACAGTAAAGTGAAGATGCATACTGTTTTTAAGGTATTAACAATTCAATTCAAAGCGTTCACCTATGTCAGTACCGAGGAACAGGTCTTTGAATTAACTGGAACACGCTAAGAGCTCATAACTGAAGAGGAAATCAGTTTTTTAACCCAATAGTGACCGTTGGTCTGCATCTTATTTCGTCTTATTGTGTCACTGAAACGATTTCAAGTAAAACCTTTTGATTGTTAAACAATCCTCCTTGTCAGAGTAATTGGAAACGTATGAGAAAACCATAAAGAATATCCATACTAGTGTTAGATTGCCAAGGAATAAAAGGCAGCAGAGATCAAAATTGGGCCTGAAATAAATGGTCTTCTCGTTTAGGGTTGATAAAATTGTCCTTGTTTCTGTTCTCTTTCAGACTCAGTTGATTACAGAGGTAAAGAGTTCGTCTTGAGCTTCTCGCCTCAACATCCAAGTTATCTCTTTTCTGGAAACAATATACTCTACATATCCAGCTTCGAAAATGGCACGGTTCGTGTCCACGTGCCTTCTCTCACGAACTCTCCAGAGAAGTCGTACGCCTTGTCAGCTGGAGTTTTAACAATAGTTCAACTGTCGAGCAATACACGCACAAATAGCACCTCAGGACTAAAGAAAAAAAAAGGTATCCGAATCACGGCCGACAAGCCCATGTCTGTGCAGGGATTAGCAAATGCGACTCAAAAAGTAGAAGGGTTTCTTGGGTTGCCTGTGGATGCTCTTGGTATGTTTTACATAGCAGCGGCTTATCGCCCTGTGATCAATGCTGTAATTCAGGTCGTAGCGATTGAGGATAACACCACTGTCACGATTACATTGCGAACGAACGGTAAAGTACAGTACCAGGATAATTGGTATGGAAACGGTCACATCATAAGCGAAACTTTAAATGATTTAGACGTGTTTCAAGTTCTGGCTGACCAGGATCTCACAGGCACCATTATAAGGTCGACAAAGCCAGTCGCAGTATTTACTGGGGATGACTGCACCATGGTGCCTGAAAATAAACCGCCATGCAATCACCTGGTGGAGCAGATCCCTCCCGTATTCCTCTGGGGGAAAGTGTTTGTTACCAACCCCACGCCTAACAGCCCGGGGGGAGACGAATTTCATATAATAGCGTCTCAAAATACAGAAGTTAAGGTTGATTCTCAATACAAAGTGACGTTAGACCAAGGAGAGAAATATATGATCGATGTATCATGGAACAAGTCCTCGGTGATCAGTACTACTCAACCGAGTCTTGTGATGCAATACTCCAAAGCCGGAAAAAGCCCCTCCATGAATGTAGTACCTCCAATGCAGTCTTTCACTAACGACTACACAGTTTATGTTCCTCAAGATGATCAAGGAAACACTTTTGACTGCTATGTAAATGTCATTATTGACACTGCTTCACGAAGCGGTCTTCGCGTGAAGGGTGCAGGCAGCATTGTTAAGAACTGGACCACAATTCTTGGCTCTGGGGGGTTCTCAAGAGCTTCGATTCATTTGACCAGTGTTGGTTCCCATCATGTGTACCACGAAAACCCGCTGACAACATTTTCTGCAGTTTTTTACGGAACGAATCGCAATGGAATGTTGTTTGCTATGCCGGCTGGGATGGAACTGCAACTGCAGTCACTGCAATTGCAACGGCAGTCACTAGACGATACTTGTAAGCCCACAAACACTGTGGGTGGAGACAACATTGATAATGATTGCGATGGTCTCACGGATGAAGAATTAAAGAATGGAGTTGACGATGATTCAGATGGTAGGGTTGATGAAGACTTAGTCACGCCAGTGCCTACATTAACCACGCCCAAACATTTCGTGACAACCTTATGCAATAGATCATCTGATGTGTTCAATGCAGGTACCGCAAGGGGCTCAGCTCACGGCGTGTGTAAGGCTCGTGGGGAAGCCAAAATCTCACACATAGATAATATCGTGAGCAACAACACTTGTGGGCGCATAACTGACCGAGTGTGGAATATTACAGATTCTTGTGGTAATTCTGTCACGGGCATCCAGCGTGTAACGGTATACACCCCAGAGGAGCCGACCATAGTCTTTCCGAAAGACATCGTCTTCACCTGTAGGGAGAAGAAGTATCTTGATCCAAAGTTTGCAGGACAGGTTACAGTGACTAGTACAAACTTGTGTCCGAGGAATGTGACAATAACCTACGTTGACAGATACAAAGATGACTGTTTAAACTCAAACAGGGAGGGGAGGCTGGAGCGAATTTGGACCGTGAAAGACAAATGTAAAGGGAGTCAAACAAAGACACAAGTTATCATCCTTGTACCAAAAGGTCAGAGAATCCAAATAAATTATTAATTATCATCATTTCTCGCCTTGGGGGCGGGGGAGGCTGGAGGATTATGGTTACATCACCATTAAATTTACCTGATCTCCTCCCCCCCCTCCCCCCAAAAGGCTCTGTGGTATTCTAATGATCCCAGTCATTTTTTTATAATCCCCAGTTAAAACTCTGTTAGAAACGTCTGATTGGCCAATGTAACTTGTCTGTTATTTGGTCAGTTCACCTGTTTTTAGGGTTGAGAAGATCAGCTAACTATGTTGTGTCATTCAAAATAACGAACGAGATGTTTTCGGCCGAACTTCAAGACATGGAATCGCCTTCCTTTAAGTCCCTCTCAAGAGGTTTGGAACTTGAGGTAATGTACGTAGTCAAAAGTTTTTTAAGGCCAAGGAAAATTCCTTCTTAAAAGGGAATTTAATGAGCGATGGCGTCGTTAAACCTAAATGTCGTCGGTAAAATTCTCGTTAAGTTCCCGACTCGCACTCGGTAATCGTGCGCTCACATTAACTTTATTATTTGCTCTCCTGTCCTTATTTTAGCTGGAAAAAACATTTATGGAATCGAAATCAATACTTGGACAATTCTTTGTAGCAGCTACCGTTCTTAATTTCAGGTAAGCTCTCGGCTTGGGATTTGTTACAGTCACTTTTCATATTTTACGTTTACGAACCTTTATTTAACATGACATTTCTCTGTTTTTACAGCAATGGTAGTGTTATTCCAAGAGTGCTCATTAAAATCGATGCACAAGCTCAAATCAGTCAGTGGCAGTTGGTCGAATTTATGAATGAAACTCTGAAAAGTGGCATGCTGGGAAAATACCAGGTGGACCCCTCATCAGTTGAGTTGACAGGTATAAATTTTGCCATTTTTTTTTTTTGCGGTTGAGCCCCACCATATTTTTTTCCCGTCTCTCTTCATTATTTCTCGCAATTTACTGACTGGTCATTAGTTATCACCAGCGGTGTTGGAAGATTTTGGTTGTGTCACATTTAAATTAACCTGATTTCTCTTCCCCCCCTCCTAGGGCTCTCTAGTATTCTAATGATCCCCCTCATTGGTTGTCAATTGTCTGTAGTCCCCCCCTTATACTCTGTAAGCGACAACTGATCCCCTCACCATCCCCCCTGAAAATCATATGATCCCTCCAAAATCCTCTGACCCCTTCCCAAGGGGATAGATTATGACTGGTTCCTTATTCAACACTTCTTTTGGAGAAAACTGTTAAAATTTCTGTTATAGGAAACTTTGCCGAGCCATTCATATAATCTGACCCCTCATTGGTTCTTTACAGCATTTATCTTTGTTTTGATTGGTTTTATGGAACCACCTTAACCCTTTAAGTCCCATGAGTGACCAAGACAGAATTTCTCCTTATAATGGCAATACAATAACAAGCAGACAAGTGATGAGAACAAAGGAAAATATCAATTAGGGGATGATTAGTTGATCCACTACCAAATTCTCCAAAAAAAAACCTTTGTGAGAATGATATGGCAGACAGTAGTAGTAGGCCTCCATCGGTCAGGGTCGACCATGGGTATAGCATCCTAATTGTGTGTTTGGCTGGAGCATCTGCGACTATGACTGTGAAGGCCAATGCGTGAATGGCAGTCCCTGCCGCAAGTGCTGCACGTGTATGCTGTTTGTTGGACATTGCTGATACGAAGTTTTCTGCGGGTCCGCCTCCTTGTGGCAGCTTGTGTCAGCTTCTCTTCTCCTGTTTTGAGGTGCCTTGTAACGGCTCCTCTCCATTGTGACCGATCAGCTGCGAGATTTTCCCAGGTCTCTGTGTCAATTTACAGCCTTCATGTCACGCTTCAAAGCAGATCGCAGCTGTGGGCGTCCTCTGCGTCTACTTCCAGTGGCTAGCTCACCATACAGTAAGTCTTTGGGGATGCGGCCGTCTGGCATGCGATGAACGTGGCCCAGCCAGCGGAGTCTACGTTGCCTGAGTAAGGTTGACATGCTTGGCAGGCCCGCACGAGACAAGACCTCTGTGTTTGGGACTTTGTCTTGCCACGAAATTCCCAGGATGCGGCGGAGGCTTCTCATGTGGAAGGTGTTAAGGACAATAAATAATGATATCTTGAGAGTGAAAGGGTTAAAGGGCAATCAGTCTCAAAATTCGTTCCTTTACCTTCCCTTTAATGTTCTATTTAGTTATTTACTCTTCCCCAATCATCAAATTTTTGTCTTAAAACAGACTTTGATGAGTGCCAAGCACCTGATCTCAACAACTGTCACAAAAAGGCTAAATGTACCAACACTGTAGGTTCATATAACTGTTCTTGCCTTAAAGGATTCATTGGGGACGGTGTCCTTTGTCAAGGTAAGCTTCTCTAACCTCTAGTCATAAAGCTACTAGCATCATGGCCAAATGGACGGATCAGTTTTCATGAACCAGTCTTGTGTGCCACTTTTTTGATCCTACTTCTTTTAACTTCCTCCTTCCCATTTCTGAATGAATGAATGAACAACTTTGTTTACCAAGAGTGAAACATTACTGTTAAGAACTGGTAAACTTGTGGCCCTCCCCTAAGATATAAAAGTAATTTATAAATATTAACAAAGTTAAGTTAAAAATTATAAAAAACAAAAAAAACACAGTAAATGTAATAGTAAATGTTTCAATGTTAAGTTAAATTGAAGTTAAAATGTTAAATTTAAATGTTAAATTCTTTTTTTATATCTATTTTTTAATGAAAAATGTTTCAGATGAAACATCATCCATCGTCAGTTGTATAATGAGATATAAAATAAAATTATACCATAAATAGTGCATTTTTGATACATTTTATTTCTCATTATACAAACTGACAATGGATGATGTTTCATCTGAAACATGTTTTGTTTTCATTTAAAAAAGATAAAAAAAATGAACTTTAAAAGCATTGAGTGGTTCATCAAGGTGATATCTTACTTCATGCAGCTACAAAGGCTTAATATTTAAATATAATATTACAAAGGGGTCAGACGATTTAAAAAATCATGAAATGGGAAAGCTATTTAAGCCAGCATAACCTTCCTTTATTAAATTACAATAGTTCTGTTTGAATGCGTTAATACTGCTAATACTCTCTGATGTTCTTTGTTTGACATCCAATTAGAGCCAGTTTAGAACATCCGAGAATCAGCTTAACAGCTGTGTGTCTGTTCATTAATAAGTCACAGATGATGTCTGTGAAGTGGTTAGAACAAAAAAGTGGCACACAAGGGTGTGCCACTGATGTTAATGAACAGACCCATGACAACATGGAAAACATTTGTTTTATATGATAAAAAGCAACATGTTGTTCATGGTGTTATTGTCTGTGCATCTGTCCAGGATACAGTTTATCATTTTACATAGTTATATTCAACAGTTCTAAACTTCATTTTTTGGCCAAGCAGCAAACAAAACACATTTAAACCATGGTGAGAGGTTACATGTATGATTCTATATTAGGACAAATGTCGTTGGAAGCACATGCCATTTACTTGTACCATTCAAACAATCAGTCTAAATACTGCAATAACAACAACACAGCAATCATCTTAAGCATCTTATTTGAAACACACACTTTGAAGTCAATAACAGACCATGTCACTGCATGCATGTTTTGATTCAAACACAATAATAAGCTATTGCTATCACACTTTCACTTTCATTATAAATAAATTAAGTGATAAGAATAATGTAAGTCAAGGAGAAACCCTGTGTACCTCCTCAAAGCATGTGGTTATCCCAGTTTTTCATTAGGATATGGATCCACGTGCAGTTCTGTTTACATGTTTTTATAGCCCTACCTCTCCTTCTTCCTGCGATTGCTTCTGTTTTTGTTTACGTTTTCTATCCCTTTCTTCTTTTGCTTTCTTGAACTTTTGTTTCTGGTAGAGAGAACTCCGTCTTTACTTATTTTTAATTTGAGAAGGGTCAACCTCTTTTCCCTCTCTGGCCGCCATCTTGTTGGTCCAAATTTCACATTCCTTACAATCTTGCAAGTATTCTCGTTCCCAGAGTCCTCATGAATGAAAACGAGTGATTCTGGGGACAAGAAAATTTTCCATGGAGTTACGTGACATTTTGAAACATTCCTTGAGCGCGAGCGTAGGAGGTTATGTCAATTACGCTTTCCACAGAACGCCTATTTAATTTAATTAGATTCTCTATGATATTTCTCGCGTTTTGTCCTGTTTTGAGATGTGGGTCACGGCACGGATTTTTTCAAGTCAAGGTTGCATGACATCAAATCCAATAAAAAAAGAACTTGACTCAGTTATCCTGGTTTTCTTGGCACTTTTCCTCAAAAGAATTAAAACAATATCTTTATTGACAGCTCTCTAAATCTCTGCTGAGTCGAGTCCTCTCCTCTTACTTCCGGTGACTGAGGTGTGAGACTTAATCGTCATATCCGGTGTAGCGAAAACACCTCTACTTTAATGGGTTTCCTGTATCTTGAGCGGACGCAATCATCTTGATTTTCTTTAGTTTTTCCAAGGTTCCTTCCACACCTAGATCGAACGAAATAATGGCAACAAATATTTATTCAGTCGGACTTCTTTTCGTGCTCGCCGCTCGAAGCAGCTTTCAAGGTGAGTTCTTGCGACATCGAATAATGTGTAACTTTAGATGTTAGCACTCAAAGCGTATACTAAAATTGAACGATCCTGTTAATAAGCAAAGATAAACTTATATTTGAAAACTAATATTTGCTGTGAAATCGTGACAGAATCGAAAATCGACTTCAGTCGTCTTCGATCAGTGAGTGAATCGTGCCAAGTACGCATAAATTTGTAAAGCTGTGAACCATGCAATGTTCCTTTGAAGCTCTTCGAGGGGTTTGGGCTACTGCTGTTGTTCTTTTGTGTAAAATGGAACGCTCAGCGTTATTGAAACTTAGAACTACGGATGAAAGCTCTTTAAGTGACAGTGAAATGATCCTAGCTCAAAATTAGATGAATGACCCAAAGTGTCTACATGAATGATTGTGATTGTACTAGCTTCAGCTCGAGTTTATCTTGGAATTAACGAAGTTGCTGATCATTTAAATTGAAGTGAACTTTTGTTTAAAATTCATCATCAAATGGTTCGATTTATGCCAACTTTGATGTTAATCTGCTCAATTTTTCTGAGCTCGGAAACATGTTCAACAGAGATGTGCATTCCTTCATTTGACATACGGTATGTAACATCTATTTATAGTCTCTAGCGAGCAAATTTGTTTGTGATGTTGAAGGAAAGGTACAGAATACTTGCACATTAAACTGTTATTGATATGTTTGACTTCGGTTTTCTTACACGCAATATTTTCCCTCTAAATCTTCGAACAATCTCAGAATTTCAGCACAAAAAAGTCATTAGATCTTTAAACTTTGCACGTAATTCAAGGATGTGTCAGTGGATTTCAACGGTTTATTATTCAGTGTTATCATAAGGTTACCACGGTCTGGTGAGTTCATAGATCTTACAAACAACGAAGACGTGAGAGATCGGAAAGCAACTCTTTTTGTTGAAAATGTTAATCGTATAAAATAGCCAGCCTTAAAAGCCTTCATCTTCCTTTGTTCTTCTCATGACTTCCTTCATTTAGTTCCTGATGTAATGCTCTTTTTTAGCTACGTAGTTGATCAACTCAGATTCTGCCCAATTCTAAGGATGATGCAAATTTACTACTGAGAATTTTAGAAAAAGACAGACAAGCATTTGTCTTCCAATACATGAGATTCTGTAGCTTGGTATCATGAAATACACTTTTCGATCCCAAAATGGGCTGAGAGGAAATAAGCTGCAGCAATACGAAAGATTTGTTAAGATTTAAATTTGATCAAAATTAGCGAAAAGATGCCCGCTTTAAACAAGTGATTTTACGAAAAGTTGATGCTTCTCCATAAATCAATGGAAAAATGAAATATATTGGCAAAGCAGGCAAAGCAGGCAAAGCACTATATCGTAAGACCTTTTGATTATTGTTTACCAAGAAGTACTCGTCGCAAAGTGAAATTCGACGCGGCCAATATCAGCACCGGGAAAGGGTTCAGACAAATTGAACTCTCGAGAATCTTTGCCAATATCAACAGAGAGGGAGAGAGAGAGAATATTTAACGATGGCTGGAAACGACGCAAAACGAAGGGCTTTGGGCTGAGTGTAGTTAAGATATTAGTGAGATTTTAAGAGGATAATCTACAAGTGTGAACCTTGCTTGTGAATATTTATCTAAGGGACGTTTACCGACAACTTTCAGCACTACTACTTAACCTCTTAACCTAGAAGCGTGACTTGCATCTAATTTCTCCTTACAATAACACCTCTTAATCACACCTCAATGTTACGAGAATAAATTAAGCGATCACTGACAAAGCTCTTGATTGTAAACCAAATTCTCCCTGCCAGTACCTTAGGAAATGCGCGAAGAACAGTATGGAGAATATGCATACTGTTTTTAAGGTGTAAACAACTCAATTCAAGGGGTTAATCTAGGTCGGTACCGAGGAACAGGTCTGTGAATTAATTAGAACACAGCGACAGTTCATAACTGAAGAGGAAATCAGTTCTTTAACCCAATAATGACCATTGGCCAGGATCTTATTTCGTCTTACTGTATCACTGAAACGATTGCTAACAATAAAACCTCTTGATTGTTAAACAAATTCTCCTTGTCAGAGTCATAAGGAATGTATCAGAGCACTACAGAGAATATCCTTACTAATTATTTCAACCACTAGTTCGGTACTGTTCATAACTACGAGGATCGCTTATATTCGTTTCTTCTACTTCAGTGCACGTACATGATGTTCATATATTTCCAGTCATTATTATCTATACTAATGTTAGATTGTTAAGGGTTGCGGGGAGGCAGTAGCGATCACAATTGGGCCTGAAATAAACGGTCCTGTCGTTGGAGAGCGAAGTTAACTCTTCTTAAATGTTTTGTGGCAAACATTTGTCATAAGAAGACTGTTCTTACATGGAAAAAATACCCGTGCTACCATGCCCGGCTGGCTTTCACACTATAACTTCCGGAAGTGATTAACAATTAATTATAATTATAATTTCCATTCGTTATCCAGAAGGGTTGATAAAATTGTCCTTGTTTCTGTTCTCTTTCAGACTCAGTTGATTACAGAGGTAAAGAGTTCGTCTTGAGCTTTTCGCCTCAACATCCGAGGCATCCTTTTTCTGGAAACAATATACTATACATATCCAGCTTTGAAGATGGCACGGTTCGTGTCCACGTGCCTTCTCTCACGAACTTTCCAGAGAAGTCGTACGCCTTGTCAGCTGGAGGTTTAACAATAGTTAAACTGTCTGGAAATACACGCACGAATGGCAACTCAGGACTGGAGAAAAAAAAAGGTATCCGAATCACGGCCGATAAACCCATGTCTGTGCAGGGATTAGCAAATGCGACCCAAAAAGTGGAAGGGTTTCTTGGGTTGCCTGTGGATGCTCTTGGTATGTTTTACATAGCAGCAGCATATCACCCCGTGATCAATGCTGTTATTCAGGTCGTAGCGACAGAGGATAACACCACTGTCACGATTAAATTGCGAACGAGCGGTAGAGTACAGTATCAGGATAAGTGGTATGGAGACGGTCAGGTCATAAGCGAAACTTTAAATGATTTAGACGTGTTTCAAGTTCTGGCTGATCAGGATCTCACAGGCACCATTATAAGGTCGACAAAGCCAGTCGCAGTATTTACTGGGGATGACTGCACCATGGTGCCTGAAAATAAACCGCCATGCAATCACCTGGTGGAGCAGATCCCTCCCGTATTCCTCTGGGGGAAAATGTTTGTTACCAACCCGACGCCTAACAGCCCAGGGGGAGACGAATTTCATATAATAGCGTCACAAAATACAGCAGTTTATGTGGATTCTCAATACAAAGTGACGTTAGACCAAGGAGAGAAATATAAGATCGATGTATCATGGAACAAGTCCTCGGTGATCAGTACTACTCAACCGAGTCTAGTGATGCAATACTCCAAAGCCGGAAAAAGCCCTTCCATGAATGTAGTACCTCCAATGCAGTCTTTCACTAACGACTACACAGTTTATGTTCCTCAAGATGATCAAGGAAACACTTTTGACTGCTATGTAAATGTCGTTATTGACACTGCTTCACGAAGCGGTCTTCGCGTGAAGGGTGCAGACAGCATTGTCAAGAACTGGACCGTAATTCCTGGCTCTGGAGGGTTCTCAAGAGCTTCGATTCATTTGATCAGTGATGGTTCCTATCATGTGTACCATAAAAACCCGCTGACAACATTTTCTGCAGTTTTTTACGGAACGAATCGCAATGGAATGTTGTTTGCTATGCCGGCTGGGATGGAACTGCAACTGCAGTCACTGAACGATACTTGTAAGCCCACAAACACTGTGGGCGGAGACAACATTGATAATGATTGCGATGGTCTCACGGATGAAGAGTTAAAGAATGGAGTTGACGATGATTCAGATGGTAGGGTTGATGAAGACTTAGTCACGCCAGTGCCTACATTAACCACGCCCAAAAATTTCGTGACAACCTTATGCAATAGATCATCTGGTGTGTTCAATACAGGTACTGCATCGGGCTCAGCTCACGGCGTATGTAGGGCTCGTGGGGAAGCTAAAATCTCACACATGGATAATATTGTGAAAAACAAGGCGTGTGGGCACATAACCGACCGAGAGTGGATTATTATAGATTCTTGTGGTAATTCTGTCACGGGCATCCAGCGTGTAACGATAGATACCCCAGAGGAGCCGACCATAGTCTTTCCGAAAGATATCGTCTTCACCTGTAGGGAGAAGAAGTATCTTGATCCAAAGTTTGCTGGGCAGGTCTCATTGACTAGTGCTAACAAATTGTGTCCGAGGAATGTGACAATAACCTACGTTGACGGATACAAAGATGACTGTTTAAATTCAAACAGGGAAGGGAGGCTGGAGCGAATTTGGACCGTGAAAGACAAATGTAAAGGGAGTCAAACAAAGTCACAAGTTATCATCCTTGTACCAAAAGGTATGAAAATCCAAATTAATTATTATATATTATCATTGCTTCTTTTCTGGGCGGTTGTATTACCATAAAATTTACCAGACCCCCCCCCCCCCCCCATAAAGCTCTGTAGCATTTTAATGACCCACCCTCATTTTTAAACTCTACGAGAAACGACTGATCGCCCTCCGTTTCACCTGAAAAACATGTGATTCCCCCAAAAATCCTTTCCCCCCCCCCGTCCCTTATTTAAGGTGGAACTCAGTTAGCGCAATACTTTAGCTGATTGCTGTCAGCTTGTAATGCAGGATTGCATCAAGTAATTTTGCTAAATGTTTCCTGATTGGCCGAGAAAACTCGCACCAAATATCCAACCAATCAGATACAAAACTAAACCCAATTGCGACTCGGACACCTCCATTTTCCCGCGCTATTGAAGATTGTTCTAATTGGCCGTTGTAACTTATCTGTTATTTGGTCACTTAACCTGTTTGCAGGGTTGAGAAGATCCACTAACTATGTCGTGTCATTCAAAATAACGAACGAGATGTTTTCGGCCGAACTTCAAGATATGGAATCTCCTACCTTCAAATCCCTCTCAAGAGGTTTGGAACTTGAGGTAATGTACGTAGGCATATTTTTTTTTTAGACCAGGGAAAATTACTTCTTGAAAGGGAGTTTAATGGGCGATAGCGTCGTTGAACCAAGATATCGTCGGTGAAATTCTCGTTAAGTTACCGACTCGCACTCGGTAATAGTACGCTCACATTAACTTTATTGTTTGCTCTTCTGTCCTTATTTTAGCTGGAAAAGACATTTATGGGGTCGAAATCAATACTTGGACAATTCTTTGTAGCAGCTACCGTTCTTGATTTCAGGTAAGCTCTCGGCTTGGGATTTGTTACCGTCACTAACCTCCATATAACACGACATTTCTCTGTTTTTACAGCAATGGTAGTGTTATTCCAAGAGTGCTCATTAAAATCGATGCACAAACTCAAATTAGTCAGCGGCAGTTGGTCGAATTCATGAATGAAACTCTGAAAAGTGGCATGCTGGGAAAATACCAGGCGGACCCCACATCAATTGAGTCGACAGGTATAAATTTTGCCATTTTTCTTTTTGCCGTCAAGCCCCATCATGTTATTTTTCCCGTCTCTCTTCACTATTCCTCGCAATTTATTAACCCTCACCCCCCCCCCCCCCACTAAAGCTCTCTAGTATTCTAATGATCCCCCTCATTGATAGTCAATTATCTGTAGCCCCCCCCCCCTTATACTCTTTAAGCGACAACTGATCCCCTCACTGTCCCCCCTGAAAATCATATGATCCCTCCAAAATTCCCCGACTCCTCCCCCAAGGGAATAGATTTTGACTGGTTCCTTATTCAACACTTTTTTGGGTGAAAACTGTTAAAATCGCTATAATAGGAAACTTTGCCAAGTCATTCATGTAATCTGACCCCTCATTGATTCTTTACAGTATTTATATTTGTTTGATTGGTTTTTTCATTACTTTTAAACAGAAACAACTTTATACTCCACGAACTGCTTGAAAGGGCAATCAGTCTGAAGATTCACTCCTTTACCTTCGTTTAACGTTCTATTTAGTTAATTACTTTTCCTCATTCTTTATCTTAAACAGACTTTGACGAGTGCCAAGCTCCCGATCTCAACAATTGTCACGAAAAAGCTAAATGTATTAACACTGTTGGTTCATATAACTGCTCTTGCCTGAAAGGATTCGTTGGGGATGGTGTCCTTTGTCAAGGTAAGCTTTTCTGACCTCTACTCAAAGAGCTATTAGCATTATGGCTAAACTGACTGATCTGTTTCCACAACTCTCATCTGATGAAAAACTCTTCACTTGAATCAGGTTGTCGAAATGTCACTTCTGCTCGGGTTGTCGAAATGTCACTTACCACAAACGACGACAGTCTTTCCCAGGACTACTCTCCTACGGACGATCAGGTCACGCGAACAACTGGCCTCTCCCCTAACCCATCGTTCTTTACACTTACCCCTCCCCCAAGGCAAAGTTCTGTACACCTACCTCTCCCCTAACCCAACGTTAACCCTAACCTGATATCGATTGACTGTACTTCAATTCGCAGTTGCTCAGATACCGACGCTTATCTACTTTTTCTATTCCCAGCACCACCTTCAATCAGCTACATTGATCCAGCAATGGAAATTGGCACCGAAGAAAACGTGACACTTGCTTGTCACGCTGAAGGTCTTCCAGAACCAAATATCACTTGGGTAACACCAGACAAACAATTGGTGACAGCAGCAAGTGATATTTTAGAAACATCAACCCTTGACGATGGTAGCAAATATGTACGAGGCAAAAAAATGCAACAAGATGGTTCGCTATTGATTTACAACACCCGTGATAACGATGGCGGTATTTACAAATGCATCGCTGAGAATGGCGTGGGAAGGGATGTCAAAAGTGTCAACGTCACAGTGAGAGATGGTGAGTAATATATCACAGAGAAAGTTTCAGTCATGATCAAAAAGCAATTTTCAATCCGAGATAACACTGGTTTTTGCTTTACTTCGTTCTACGCTGAGTCCAGAAATCTCGTGCCACCACTCAACTAATCAGATACAAAAATAAAACCAACCATGACTTGGTCTATGGTCCATGACTTGGCCCACGTTTTCCCGCGCTTTAGAAGGTTAGCTTGTAATAACTTTGGTTTCTCATCGGCTTTTAACCCTTTTACTCACATGAGTGACCAAGACAGAATTTCTCCTTACAATATCAATACAATATCAAGCAGACAAGTTGTGAGAATATAGAAAAATATAAATTAGGGGATTATAAGTTGATCCAATACCAAATTCTCGAAACTAACATCTGAAGGACTGTACGACAGACAGTAAGGAGAATTACTAATGAGATCGTGGGAGTTAAAAGGTTAAAGGTATTTTCCTTTCTCTCGATTGGCTGTTGCGATTACTTTGGTTTTGGTTTCACAGCACTCGATTAAAAATCGTTCTAACAAAGTTTGGGCTTTAAAACAAAGATTACATCAATTTCGGCGCAAAATAACACCCATTGTCAGGCTGCATAGGGATGAAACGGATAATTTCTAATTTCTATCGTTAGACCTCGTGGGAGTCGATGCCGCCATTACCATTGAGGATCAAGTATTTGATCAAGATTTGGAAAATAAATCTTCTACGAGATACCAGACATTAGAGCAGCAAGTGAAGCAAGAGGTAAGTCTGTGAACTTGTCTTCTTTAGACCTGATCAGTATGTAACTTCTCTTTACGAGACTGGTGCGGAGCAAAAAAGGGATACGACCCAAGATTCACCGAAGTAACACGATTCTCTCCTCTCAGATAAATATATGGGCATCAGCAAACTGTCAAGGAGGCTTTATCCTTTAAACTCTAATTTCTCCTTACAATATCACCCATGAATCCCACATTAAGGTAACAAGAAGACAGGAAATCATCACCAACTAGAGTAGCTCTTGATTGTTAAGCACATTCTCCTTGTCAGCACCTTAGGAAATGTAAGGAGAACAGTATGGAGAGTTTGTATACTGATCATAGGGCGAAAAGGGTGAACGAAATCACAGTGGGGGGTGGAATGGTTAACTTATAGTTAAACTGCCTCCCATCCAGGGGGGAGTAGGAACATTCCTATTCACTTCTTGATAAAAGGAAGAACAAAGAATATGCCAGCGGTTTTCTTTTTTTTGTCTGCAAAAAAAAAAAAAATTCGGAATGTTTTTGTCTTTCCTTTTACACAGTTAACTGCCTTGTTCCAGGATATTGAAGGATTCGAAGAGGTTATCATTCTTGGATTTGTGTAAGTGAAAAAGCAAAGAACTGACGCGTAAAACGTATTTGAACTCGTTACCGGGGTCACTATGTTGTGTTCTTTAGCAAGACACTTTAACGCTTGAATATCACCGACCTGTTCCTCTCTCCACCCCAGTGGTATGCATAGCTTACAGAAAAGTGTCGGTGAAAGAAGACTAAATGCTTACAGGGGCTGGGGTTCCTGTGGAGGACCAGCATCACATCTGGGTGCAAGTAGCAATACTCCAAGGGGCTTCTCTCTATAGAGGCTAAAGCAACTTCCTCTTTCACGGCTTATAATAAACTGAATGAATGCAAGGTTGAAACAGTGAAAGCTTTGAAATAATCCTAATTCTCGTTAAAAGATAAAAAGCTTAGAAGTTTGGTATGTCTTCTCATGGGGCGCAAAAGAAGTCGCTCAAATATTTCGAAGAACGTGCAGCGCACAATGTTGCGGTCAAACCCATCTGCCCATCTTGTCTTGTGCATCGCTAAAGTCCTCAGATTTTTTTGTCTTCTTACTAATTAAAAATAGCCTTTAACCCTTTAACTCCCGGAAGTGATTAACATGAAACTTCTCCCCATAACATCCTTACATTATCTAGCAAACAGGTAATGAGAATATTCAAACTTATCAGGTAGAAGTTGTTATCTTGATCTAACACCAAATTCATATAACTAATTTACAAGGAAATATGTAGCAGCTAGAGGGGAGAATTGACATTAAGATCTTGGTAGTTAAAGGGTTGAAACAGGTCAGTTTGTTCTACCGTTTTGCGCTAGGATGTGAGGCGTCTAAGCAAAACTCGGAGACAACTTTTCAGTCAAAACCCTATTAATAACTCTTTAACTCCCGTGAGTGACCAAGACAGAATTTCTCCTTACTATATCTATGCAATATCATGCATACAAGTGATGAGAATAAAGAAAAATATCAATTATGGGATTACTAATTGATCTGACACCAAATTCTTTAAACTAACATAATGAGAATCATTTGGCAGACAGTAAGGAGAATTACTGGTTTGAACTTTGGACGTTACTTCGTTACAGGAATGGCAGCGTGAAAGTACGTTTCCGTGTTGTTGTGATTGTGAAACCTGAGGAAAAAAAGACAACGGTTGTTGCTAACAAAGTTGGTAAAACTCTCAGTGCCAGTGTGCAAAGTGGTCAGATAGGCAGTCTTAAAGTGAAGAAAAAGGTTGAGTTACGAGGTTTGTAACTATTTCCCTGTTTTCTTCCTTTTTTCTCGATTCCATCCTTTTTCATCCTCCCTTGCTGCATCATCTCATTTTCCATTTTCCATTTTTTATTTTCCATTTTCCATCTACCATTTACCATTTCTCATTTACCATTTTCCATTTCCATTCTCCTTTTCAGAACTTCCTCCACCACCCGAAAATGTTCGAGCGAGTGATGTTGAACGAACTGAAGCCGTCATAACCTGGTCGCATCCCGAACTTTATCAAATGTACTCTATTAATGGATACTCGCTACAAATCAGACAATTTGGAACAAACACGTGGCTCCATTTTACATCCACTCCGGGCGAAAACCACAGGATAACCAACCTCGATCCCGATACTGCTTACTTCGTGAGGTTGAAATCAAAAAACGAGTACGGTATGGGGGAACCGAGTACTAATGGAGAACTCAAAACTAAAAAAGGTTGGTCATTTCGGCTGTTTTGTGAGTTCTAGGAGTCTCGTTAACCCTTTACACCTTTACATCAGCATGCATATTCTCCATACTGTTCTCGATACATTTCCAAAGAGGCTGACAAGGAGAATTTGTTTCACAATCAAGAGCTTCTTTTAGTTGGTGATCATCTCCTCAATTCTCATGACTTTCATATTTGATTCAGGGGTGATATTGTAAGGAGAGTTTAGATGCTAGTCTTCCTCAGGGTTTAAAGGGTTAAGGTATTGGTACTTCTATCTGTTTCATAAGCGACAGATCAAGAGAAATCTTCCATTCACATCAATTGCAAATACGTCAAGAAACACGTCTTCGTTTACATCCCACGTACATTTTCTTAAATTTTAACCATTTTAATCATCATTGTCTCGTCTATTAGAGGAACTGCAGAGAGATGCAATTGAAACCTTTGACTCCTAAGAGTGACTAGTCTTTAATTTCTCCGTACAATATCACCCTTAAATCACATACTAAGGTCATGAAATAACGGAAATTATCAGTAATGAAAAAGCACTTGATTGTTGAACGAATTCTCCTTGTCGGTCACATAGGAACTGTGTAGAGCACAGTTTGGAGAATATACCAAGTGATGTTAGAGGGTAGAGAGTTAATCACATACCATTCACAACGTAAGGTAACGGGGTGCTATACCAACATCGTAACGGAAGAGAATACGAGGATGCTATATTTTTTACCTTCAAGGGGAGAGGTCCCATGGGCCGAATGACTCACTCCCCCCCCTCCTAGCCGTCCTTTCGACGCATGTCTATCATAATCATCTGAAAAATAACATCTAATTTATTTCCTTTTATTTTCTTCATACAGAAAAAAATGTCGCCGAATTAGTATTACCCATTGTGATCTCGTTGTTACTGATTATAATACTGGCAATTGTGGTAGTAATTGTCTACAGAAGATGGAAAAAGAAACGACAAAACTCAGGATATTTAAACGATGGAGAACAAGTACCAATGAATCCTGTAACACTAGATACGGTCAGTTAAGCACAGTATGTGTAAATGATTCATCTACACTGACACTTTAAAACCTTTTTATGGGATCAATTTATTGTTCTTGTAGTTTGTACATCGCGAAAATTTAACGCTATATTTTTTTAGTTTGTTGCTGGTTATATCTTTTATTCATGTTCATCCTGGTGTACAGTTACCTCTTTAGTGTTTTCCAGTCTTACAAGATAAATTTTGAAGATTTATTTCCGGTTCAAGAGAATCTTGTCAAGCACCAAAGATCAGTTAAAATTTGAGTGGTGATTGAGTTCAATGGCTCTGTCATCGAGGGTGTTATAGCGCAGACATCTTCCCTCTCCTCTCCTCTCCTCTCCTCTGCTCCCCTCACTCATCCCCCCCTTTTTTTAAAGGAGTGGGTGTGTGAGGGATGGACCTCTCTTGCTAAAAGACTTAAGTGTTTTAGCTCCCCTTCACAATTTCTTGCTCGTCAATCTCATCCTCACCTCCCCTGTCCACCTCTTTTACTTACTCCAAGCTTTCCTCGACGTTATTGATCCAAAATTGCGGCTGAAACACTCCATCGGAATTTTAATTACATACTCATGCTGTGCAGACCATCTAAAAAGCCAGAATAATGGTTTCGCCTCTTTGGTCTCTTCAAGATACTTTTTTTGATCAATGTCAGTGTCTGAGCAGTTGCGCGCCTACCCCTCCTCTAACCCATTAACAGTAAACTGACAAAAAGTTAGGGTTAATGTTGGGTTAGGGCAGGGGTAGATGCGCAATTGCTCAGACACTTGACATTGAACCGATTTTTGCATCTAAAACTTGTTCAAATTATTCTTTATAATAATTTTTTCACCTTAGCAAAATCATTCTGAAGCTGAGAATGGACGATTTACGACTTCCACTTTTGGTAGAGATCGCTATGCTCTCGTCCCTGGTGGAGAACCGAACAACACAAGCACACCAATCGATATCCAAGCCTCGTTTTCATGGCGTGAAATACCACGTGACCGTATCATTCTTGGCAAAATTCTTGGAGAAGGCGAGTTTGGAACAGTGGTAAAAGGAGAGTTGACTGAAGATGACGGGAATGTTATAACATGTGCTGTCAAAAAGTTAAAACGTATGATATTTCTATCCTTGAATCAGTTTTCTTCCCCGATCAAGGCGTTCACCATGTCAATATAGAAGATATACCCCGCATTTTCAATTCCCAACAGACAAGTAGTTTAAGGCAGTAAATTGTGATATGATTAGGCTGTAAGAAAGGTCTCGAAAAATCCATTCCTCTTAAACAGAATGATGGTCCGAGAGCGTTTGAGGTGATAAATCAGATATGAGATAGTAGCGAGTTAACCCCTTAAACTTCCAAGACCAGATTATAAATTCTCCCCTCTAGCTGCCACTCATTTTCTTGTAAAATAGTTACGAGAGTTTGGTATTAGATTAAGATAACTTCTACCTGATAAGTTTGAGTATTCTCATTACACGTTTGCTGGATGGTGTATGGATATTATGGGGAGAAGTTTCATTTTGATCACATCAGGTATTAAAGCGTTAAATAATCAGCCAAGACAAACTGCAAAAATGAAGGCTGATTTTCGTCATATTTCTTAATTCCTCAAAGTTGCAGAAAAATAGCTCAAGTCTCTTGACAACAGTAAACGTAAACTTTTTGTTTTAAGTGTAAAATGGCCTGAAAACCGACGGCTTGAAGTTCAACTGTTTCCTCCTTTCTTGAACTCACAATTGTTTCACAGTAATGCAATAGGTTTTGTTAAGCCCTCTTACGCCATTCGAATGAAAACATTACATTGTATGATAATTTTTTTTCCGCTCGCGGCACAATACGCGCTGAGTCTGGAAAGAACCCCTTTTTGGATTCTGCTTCTGAAACAAATCACTGCCTCACATCTCCAAACCCGCATTCATTTTGCATCTGCGGAAGCTTCAGTTGTTACTTCGTTTGTTCTGACTAGAAATGTTGCATTGTGTAATCATTTGTTGTCTTCACCCAAATTTCAGGTACTGCCACAGAAAGTGACCTCAAAGATTTGTTGAATGAATTGGAAATTATGACGTCAGTAGGAAACCACCCCAATTTGGTTAATCTTATCGGCGCATGCTCAGTTGCAGGTAGGCTAACCCCTTCTACACTTACTTTTTAGTTACTTTTAGGAGCGTAAAGACTAAATTTCCAATCATTTGCCTTTTAGGACCTTTGTTGGTTGTCGTAGAATTTGCCGAACACGGGAACCTGTTACGTCATCTTCGGGATCGCCGAAAGCAAAATTACGATGACATGAACGAGTATACCTTAGAGATAAGCTTCACGGAAAGACTGAGGATAGCGTGCGAAGTGAGCGACGGGATGAAACATCTTGCTGCTATGAAGGTATGTAAACATCGGGCAAAAACAGTGATAGAAAAATAAATTCTCCCCCTTGGAAATGTGATCACATATGACGAGAGGGAGAGATATTCCTGAAGCTTGCCTCAAGTAAGGTTGATGGCTGAGGTTAAAGCAATCTTCAGTCCGCCATCATTTATGAAATTTAAGCAGAAAATTAAGTAATCAAGAGTGACAAATTGTCAAACAAATTAGTGGGAAGGATTCCTGCTGGGTTAAGAGAAGGGAAGGGGGGAGAGGTAAGCAGGAGGAAAGACAGCGGTAGGGAAGGGACGAGGTAAGCAGGAGGAAAGACAGCGGTAGGGAAGGGGAGAGGTAAGCAGGAGGAAAGACAGTGGTAGGGAAGGGGGAGAGGTAAGCAGGAGGAAAGACAGAGGTAGGGAGGGGGGAGAGGTAAGCAGGAAGAAAGACAGTGGTAGGAAGGGGGAAGAGGTAATCAGGCGGAAAGAGCGGTAGGGAAGGGGGAGAGGTAAGCGGAAAGAGGAAAGACAGGAGGAAAGGGTTAGGGAAAGGGCAAGGAAGGAGAGCAAGAGGAAATACAGGGCAGTAAGGAAGGAGTTAAGAAGGAGAAATACAGTGGTCTGGAAGGGCTAAGGAAGGGGAAAAGGAGAGGTAGGAAGGAATAAGGAAGGGGAAAGGCAGGGGTAAGGATGGGGTTAGGAAAGGGAAATACAGCAGTGTGTAAGGGCTAAGGTAGGGGAAAGTCAGTGGTAAGAAAGGAGTAAGGAAGGTGAAAAGCAGAGATAGGGAAGGGTTTAGGAAGGGGAAAGGCAGGGGTGAGGATGGGGGTTAGGAAGGGGAAATACAGCAGTATGTAGGGGCTAAGGAAGGGGGAAGCCAGTAGTATGAAGGGGTAAGGTTGGGGAAAGGCAGGGGTGGGGAAGGGGAAGGCAGAGGTAGGGAAGGGCTTAGGAAGGGGAAAGCCAGTGACAAGGAAGGAGTAAGACAGGGAAAAGGCAGGGGTAGGGAAGGGCTGAGGAAGGGGACAGCCAGGGCTAAGGAGAGTCGCTTTCAACATACTTGTGCTGGGACTTGATTGGTGAGTTTTGTTTTTCAGTGTGCACACAGGGATCTGGCGGCGAGAAATGTTCTCCTTGGAGAAGGAATGGTGGCCAAAGTGTCGGATTTTGGTCTGTCACGTGACATCTACACGGACAATGTGTATGAGAAGAAAACTGGGGTGAGGAGATCATCTATATTGCTCTTCAATGAGATTTGCAAAGCTAAAACTTAAGTACTAACAACGGCCAATCATACAAAAGGAAACATTCGAAGGAGTTAATGGGAACTCAAACTTAAGAGTACTTTAGGCATGAGAAGACGCGAGGGTGTCAGTTTTGAATTTGATTGGTTAAGAGAGTGGTTCGAGTTTTCTTAACCAATCACAGAGCATAGTTAAGCTAGAACCAGTGCACTCCCGTTTTTAAGTTCGACTCTCAGTTGTAAACTGCTGTATTCTTTCTTACTGGGTGATACTGATCGCTAAAATGCAAATCGAATGAAAGAACCTTAACGGATAAAAATACAAACTTACGCACGCAAAAAAGTTTCCATGGACGTGAGATAAGTGTGTCTAAGAGCATCTAAATCATCAAAGTACAAGGAAATTGGAGATTAAACAATCTGAGATACATACCAATCCTAACAGCCCTTTTGAAGTCAAACTAATGATTAAAAGTTTTAATTATTTTTCTTTTCACAGGGGAAACTTCCAGCTAAATGGATGGCGGTTGAATCACTGGAGCAAGGAATTTACACTAGTCAAAGTGACGTGTAAGTCTAAAGCGCTATAAAAGGGGGGTGGGGGGGGGGGAAGAAAGGGGGAGAGGTTCCTAAGATTCATGTGACCCCCTTCCTATTGTTGACAAGAAAAACTGATAATTTATCATGATAAAACGATCTGACCTGTCCCCAAAAGCCACTAAAACGTTTGTATAAGAACCCCCCTAGCTTTGACAAGAAAGTTGTTTAGAAAGACTCTAGAAATGTTTGCCATACTTTATCCTAGAAACAACATTGTTTTAATGTTAAATGTTACCAATTTCGTTTTTTCTTCACAGATGGTCATTTGGTGTCCTACTATGGGAAATTGAAACTGGAGGTGAGACTTCCCCCCCCCTTTCCTGTTGCTTTGAGCGCGTAGCGTCAATGACACTTGATATTCTAAGCCACTTTTTGCTGCGTGCAGAGCCGCCTTTAAGTTGGTGGAGACCAAAAATATAAGTCCAACTAGACAGGCAAGTGCAACGATGGTTAAGGATGGGGAAGTTTAAGACGGATTGAAAATGACTACAAAATATTGGTTCGATAAGATAGAAATCACAGAAGAGACTAATAAACCAAGTAGGAACAAGAATGACTATATATGGAGAAGTTTGACACGGACTGCTGATGATGAGCCGCTTACAAAGCCTAACGTTGCTCGTGTCAGCAGTCGTTTGACTTAAATCTTACCCATAATAAAAAACTAAGGGTATACAAAGGCTCAACTCACAGAGAACTTCTGTGTTCTTACTCACAGGTTGTGCTCCGTATGCTGGTGTGGCCTCGAGCGAACTGCTGCCGAAGCTTAAAGCGGGTCATCGTTTGGATAAACCCCGTTATTGCACTGACTGGCTGTAAGTAAAATGTAATCATGAGGCGTTCAATAGAACTAGAGTGTGAAGAGCTCTCTGTTCTCGTCTCTGTCCTTGGTAATTAATATTCGGTTGTATATTGTTTGTCGAGTTGGGGGAAATTTTAACTGGGTGACGAAATTAATCTGGGGTTACATTGGATCTACTTGACTGAGCTCCGTTGCATATTGTGGTTTAAGAAAAGTTGTACCACCCTCTCGACCCTGCTGCTCTCTACCAATCAGATGCATTACGATTTAGTTCTCATGCTGCCCAGCCACAGAGTCATTTTGTTGTGTTCTTGGGGAAGAAAATTAACGCCTCTCTCCATCCCCGCTAGGAGTATAAATGGGTACCACCAAACGGTCAAGGAAACATGCCACTGACCAACCACGCGCCAGCTCCGAGTACAAGATTAGTCATTTCGGAGTTCTTACCATGTGAAATCTCTTTTAATCTTCAGATATGCAATAATGCTTCGTTGCTGGAATGCAAATCCTAAGGCGAGGCCAAAGTTTGAGGACCTGAGTGATGAACTTCACCGAATGCTCAATCAACAATCAGTAAGTTTGACTTGCGTCTCATTTTTCCTAACAGAATCACCTCTGAATCAAACAGGAAGGTCATGAGAATAAAGGAACTGATCACCAACTTACGAAGCTCTTGATTGTTAAACAAATTCTCCTTGTCAGCAACTTAGGAAATGTGTAGAGTACAGTATGGAGAATATACATACTGATATTAGGGTGTAAAGGGTTATGTGGACACCAGCCAGAGTCACTCTATTTAAGGCTTATTCTTCCCAATGACAAATCGTTTTGGTGAAGGCGTCATCAACATTATCAACAAGAAGTATTGCAATAATTGCAAAGCACAGTTCAAACCTCGTTCCCGATCGCTTACTTTAGAATTTCATTCTGCCCACTCAACAATCTTAATAACCGTCGCTATTGAAACAACGGAAGAAAGTTTCGTACTTTAAAAACTCATGTCTCTCGTTACATCTGTGTTTCTTTCCAGGATTATTTGACCCCAGAGGATTACAAAGGGGAATCAAGTTATGTGAACACTTCAAGAGAAAACATATCGGCTTAACTCAGTCTTCTCTGGAAGTGGAGGCTCCGACGCGTGAAATTTTGTACAGAGTTTAGCAGTGTACTAATCCTAATTTGAAATCATCTCTAGGGCATTGATAGAATGGCTATTTTATTCTCAGGCTCTAGAAGCTGATTTATTTTTAAACATGTTGCTATGGTTCACGATGCAATGATTTCGGTGAAATACGCAGCCTTTTTTTACTGAAGGTCGTTGCTTTTCTTGAATCTGTGGACTATGAGTTGAGGAATTTAGGGTAGGATTCTAAAGATTTGTCCTGTAAGTTTTAACTTCGTAAACCTCATCCTGAGCAGTTTTGAGTTGTTTCTATTATGTATGAAACGAGCTCACTTTGGTGTGCTCTTGTAATCTGACCCAGCTACCTTCACAAATGTGTTAGTTTTTTTTGTCACACGGTAGTCCATTGTAAAATTGCATGCCTGGTTGCTAAGCCTTTGAACAAGAATGAGGCCAAGATTGACCTTGTTATGATACAAACCTTGCTGCTTTTCAGATGTAAATTACTTTGTTATCATGCTAACTAGATATTGGTCTCTATTACAACAAGGTCATCTTCAGCCTCACTTCAAATCAAAGGCTTGGCAACTAAGTACAGAACTGTAAAATGGCGTATTAGAGCAAAGGAATCATCATAGGGGTTTGACTTTGCATCTGATTGGTTAAGAAGGTAATACGAGTTTTCTAGGTCAATCAAAGACAGAAATAGTTAAACCAATACAATTTCCAATTTTTTTCGATACTAATATGAATATTTCTGTCTCAATTATAATTACTCTGGTGTCTCGTTCCTAATAACTAACCAGGGAATTTTCAAATGTTAGTGGTAAGTTAGAGAAAGCAAACAAATTTCGTAGAGTACGACATCAATATCGAAATCAGTTTGATATTGAGTTACAAATCTTTTTCTAGCAATGACAGAATAAATCACAAGATCACTTTGTTTACTTCTTTGACTGATACAGCGAAAGGAACAGTTCAAAGAAAATATGCTTGTGACTTCAACAGTTCAGTTTTAGTAATTCAGTAATTATTTACTACGAAGTATAGAAATTATATTCGAATATCAGCAAATTAATTTGAAAGAACATACGTATTGAGCTGTAGAGCATAGCTTTTTTTCGAACAATTGTAAATAAAATTAGAAAATGAAGGAGTCGTTGTGTGCGACGCGTTTTTCGACACTTTTTTTAGTGTACAGTTAATTTTTTTTAAATTCTGCAAAGGTGAATTTAGTCGAAGGGCAATTTCCTCACCCTCTCCTCCCTACCAACTCTCTACCAAGAAACAAACTCTCAGGCTGTTTGCGAAACCATTTTATGCCAAGTTTGAGTTCAACTGGTTTTCTTTTTTTATCATTAAATTATGACATTCAGCGTATTTATATTTCGCGTTAAATGTTTCTGATTAAGTTTTAATTTGCGCAAATGTTATCAAATTTCGTGTTGATGTTGCATCGTAATCCTTTGACATAAGAGTTATCTAGTTACTCCTTGCAATGTCACCCATGAATAAAAAATGAAGGTCACAGGAATAAATAGAAATTCTCCTTTTCAGCATCTTAATATACGTATAGAGAACAGTAAGGAAAATATGCATACTTAATGTTAGGGCGTATAGGCTTTAAAAAATTGCCATTCGAGGTAAGAAAAATATGTAAAGACAGAGGATATCAGTCAATCAATTCCTTAAATTTGTTTTTTTCTTGTCTTTTTGAGACACGGCCATGTTGGTATGTTGAGAGTAATCTTGTATGTAAAACCAACGCGATGGATCAGGTGGGCAAGGAATGATGGGAAGTCCCTAACTATGCTGGTCTAGAGCCAGAACCACGTATCGTGTTAAAAATTTCTTAGCCTTGTGTCTTTCAAGCGACTCCACTTTTGTATTTTGTTTTATATTTGCGCGCGACGTCTTTTGAAACCTTGACAATGGAAACTGACGAGGACACTGAACGTATTTTTGTTGTTTGTATTTCGGAATCGGTTTTAATTTCTGAGCCTTTTGTTACCCCTTTGTTTGGGAATTTAAGAAGTTTCAAGTCCTTATTTAAGCTAAATATTGTGCATAATTTAATAAGTTCAACGGAGTTGGACTATAGCCTATTGGTGTGAATTGATGTTTTTTTACCATCGCTTGACCGTGGGAGGTCTGGTACGAGACAATAAAGAGTGGGAGCACGCCGACAGCTGGCCGAATTGGGGAGACAAATAATAAAATTCTTGATGATCGATCAATTTGTTTAATGTATAAATTTTTTTTTCGAACAAGATATTCTTCGGGTTAATAAATTTCATGGTTTCATTTTTTTTTTATCTTCTCAGTACCGGCAACCTGCAGACCTAAGAGACACATGCTCAAGAAATATTAAAAATAAAAAAACAGCAATTACCGATTGTTTTTTTCCATTTCTGTTCTGGCCTTGAGTTCCCTTTCCGCCACGTAATATCAAATCACTCATCCAAAATAACAGCGCTCAAGTTCCTGACTTCTATTACACCCGGCCCACAATATAATGCCTTTATTGTTTATTAGGTATCGTTTGCACAATTTGTTCTGATCAGGAAGTTCGAATTCTAGTTTTTGTGTATTTCACTCATCTTGAGTTGAACATCAAAAGACATCTTCCCTTTGGGTAGTGTTCCATATACCATGAAGGCAGCCTCTTCATATTGCTGTTTAAACTTTTCTTCTTCTTCGCTCATTTTTTGATATATTTCTAACATCTCATTGGTGACAAAACGAAGCTGGATCTTTCGACTGGATTTTTCTTGAGATTTTTTGGTCCCTTTTTGCTGCCTGCCCTCTTTAAACAATCCTGGCTTGTCCAGATCCTCTGTCGTACTGTAATCCATCATTGATGCTAACTCGAAGAAAATGAGTTTGATTCTGGAGAGCAAAAACTCTGTTCTGCGTCTCTTTGAGGATGAGAAGAAACTCAGTGGTCAAAAACGTAGGTGTGTGTTACTTTCGTCACCTGGGTTACCATTTGAGTTTACATATTTTTTGTGACGTCACTGAATGTCATCATCAAAACGGCGTCATACCAATAACTAAAGAAGTGGATTTTACGTTGTCTTCGTTCTTTTATGAGTTACGCTTGCAAGTTCACTTGCCTTGGTCATTGGAATTGATAGTTGCTATAAAAAAATCAATTTGAGAAAAAAAGAGGCTTGAGTCCAAACTCCGTAGGAAATATGTATGAAACATATTAAATGAACCACAACATTTGGCTAAAATAAAAGCTACGAAACGTCTTAAAATTCTAAACAAAGGGGTAACAAATTTGCGCGAACGAAAGCACAAAAGTACCAACTAAACTCAGAGAAAACAAACAAAAGTACGCGAAAAAATGTCCTGGTCAGTTCTCCAATGTCAAGTTTAGAGTTCTTTGATTGGCTAATTTGTGAAATTACGCGCAGCACGTGAATACAAAAAGAATACGAAGAGGGAGAGGCAGAAAAAAAAAATTGTAATTCTCTACATTCTCCCGTTTGGCCGTTTAGTACCATGTAAACGTTTTCACTCTCGAAGAACCTTTTTGATGACGGCATAACCTTGTTGTTATTATGATTCCTGAAACGACCATCAAACTCAGCATGACTTGCGATCATCGGCCTTTTCCGTTACCTCAAGACCACCGTAATGACGTCATGACCTGAGAGGAACCATTTCTTTGACGTCATAATCTTATGTCGTTGCTATGGTTCCTGAAACGAACATTAAATTTAGCATGACCTGCGATCGTCGACCCTCTAATGACGTCATATTGAGAAGAACCATTTCTTTGCGACATAATCCTATGTTGTTGTTATGGTTCCATAAACGAACATCAACTTGGCATGAATTGCGATCATCGACCTTTTTTGTGAACGCGAGACCCCTCTAATGACGTCATCATTTGAAGAAAGAAAAAAACTCGTCAAAGCTCCAAGTTTTGTCAGCCGTAACTTCTACCGTTACTTGGCAACGAAACAAACAAAAACAACGTTGTCATGGGAATAAACTTTCCGTAACTAAAGCAAATTTAGTTATGGTTATTGCTATCCATACAGTTCCCAAAAGTGACATGGGGAAGACAACATTAACTACAGTTCGTACTCTTTTGAAAATATAAAATTCTCAGACTACTAACTGGAACTTTTGTAAATTGTTTACTATGACCCAAGACCAGGAAGTTGTTTCCAGTATTATGACAAAACAATGTCTACGACAAATTATTTTCTATTTCGATGTTCACTGAAAAAAAAAATCGGTCAATAAGCCTCTTCCTATGCCCCATATTCAAATTCAGTAGGCCTGGATTGAAATAATGTAGTCTTCCAGGACTTTTAAAGTTTTCCTTCAACCTTCGACGAAAAAAAAAAACACGCACACACACGCTAAAACAGACCGGATAGTGATTACAACGATGATGATAAAGTTCTCGATACCAGAAAGGTTAAATTTACTAGCGCATTAGATCATATCCACATGTATTTTGCGCTATATAAGTAATAAACTATTATTTCCAGTTGGGACAACTCAGCATTGTAACGCTCGCATTAAAGAGGACCTGCTCGTAAGATATCGAAACTGGGTTAAGATCTGGCAGCTTTTCGACTGCCTGATATTTACATTTTAACGTAAGAGTAGACATAAAGAGCTACCGAGCATTACCAAGAAACGCAAAAGAATTGAGAAAAAAAAATACAAAATCTGCTATTGTATCATTATCGACGACCGGGTGACGTTTCTGTTGGTCCAGTACTATCCATCATCATTCTCCTATTCCTGCGAATCTTGTTTGACTGTGATATTAACTCTATGCCAAGCGTTGGACAACACTCCTCGTAAGTTCCAAATGGGAGCAACACTGTCGGGTTGTGAGTTGTAGGACGAGTCTACAGCTTTGACACAGATCTGCAGGGCGTCCTTCCCTTCTGGTAGGGGTAGAGTGGCATTCCACAGTTTCCAGGCCCACGCTCGATGAAGCTTGTCCTCTCCATCTAGGTTAGCAACGTGCCATGTTTTACCGCCATCCAGTGACACGTCTACTCGAACAACGCCTTTACCTCCGCCACTCCATGCATACCCTTTGAGTGAGATTTCTCCGTCATTCGCCGAGACGACGGCGCCTTCTGCTGGTTCACAGATGGCTGAGGTAACAGGCAACTCCTGAATGGCGGGTGCAGACTTAAAGTCGACGGTATCCCAGTCAACTGTCGGGGAGAATCCTTTGTAATCATTCTGCTGCCAATGGCTCGAGCTTTCTTCTTTACTGGATACAATCTTCCTCAACCATTTTACGTTACGGGCACCCACAACCCCCGGTGCTACAAGTCGTACGGGGAAGCCGTGATCCCTGGGAATAGGAACCCCGTTCATTTCGTAAGCTACAAGTACGTCTCTTTCTGAAGAAAGCGCACTGTCCACGGGTATAGAGGCCCCATAGGTAGAGCCGGTTATGTCATGATCAGCTCCTTCAAATTGAATGTGTTGTACCCCATTTTTCTGAACAGATGCTTCATCGACTCCCGCGTACCTAAAAATAGCGACCAAAACGAAGGAAAATTATAATGCGATGAACAGTTAATATTTATTCAACGAAGTGGAGTTGCTCGAAGGTAAAAAGACTGGGGTCCTCATTAGGAAAATTGTAGTAACTAGAGATTCAAAATTGGGAAGAATTGCAGTTTAAATGTAGTTTTATGTGCCCAAAGTGACTAAGATGGGATCTATAATCGGTCACAGAATAGGCTATGATAGGGAAGATGTTCTGAGAGGCCAGGAGCACATACCATGCAATTATTGACCCAGGTACCCCCTCCCCCTGAGGTCTACCATCACGCTACCGCGTCTCCTATCCGTCTGATGTTGAAGTGAGTAATTGTTCTCGAGACTCGCGTCCTCCCACGCGAGCACAATTTTCTAAAGAACTCTTCATGACATAATACCTCAATACATCTTTCAAGAGAACACCTGTCCACTCAGCAGTGCTAATAGCTGCCGCTCCCCAGTTAAGGCCTTTAACCAGTTTAATCCGATTCATTTCACTTCTTCTGTTCCCTGCGCATTGCATTGTTGCAGTTACTCTACGCTTCGGAAACTTGGTCTTTAAGTCCTAAAAAAAACAGAACACTGTTTTAATTGATCGAAAATAAGAAAC